AAAGTTACAAATGGGGCACATTTAACTCTTTGAGTCCCAGGGGGTTTAGCATCACAGGCCCAATGGGTAGTAAAGAGAAACTAAAATCGACGCATCATGCGTTTATTGGACTTCTAGGTAGGAACCTAAAAACGCATGATGCGTTCCCTGGGACAAAGAGTTAATGGCTACAGCGGTCTGTAGTCTTGTGTAGAGAAGCTTGTGCTCACTGAGTGACAGGAAATATGTTCCTAAACTCAAATTTTTATTTTATATTTTAAATAAATAGAAAAGTATTTTATAAAAACAACAACACCAACCAGCAGACATGTATTCATTAAAATAAATGCATTTCTGAGTATCAAAAATATTTCAAAATATTTGTTTGATTTAAAAAAAATGCACCAAAATATTTTCACGAAGAATTTCTGATCATCAACAAACAAAATATGTTCCCGTAACAAAATAAATGTTGCCTTATAAAATTTGTGTTCACCATTTAACATAACATATCTTCCTGTATGGAATCTGTGTTTAGCAACAAATCAATACATGTCACCATCTAAAATTTATAATTATAAAGAAACAAAATATTTGTTCTAAAATAAAAAGTCCCTGTATGGGTTCCGGTGCTCCATTTTGGGGACAAAAAGCATATACTCACTGCCCACCCCTAAGTAACATGTCGTAAAAGTCGACTAATTAGAGGTGTTTCCCTCGAAGTTGGAATGCATTTGCCTGAGAGACAAGGAACCAACAGACTGCATCAAATAAACCAGATATGTAAAATGGATGTGCATGCAAAGCTCAAGTTTTGGAATAAGACCAAAGTCCAGAAATGGATGAAGGGCCAGAACTTTCAGCCAGAATTTACAGTTTGTGAACGGGAAGTAGAAGAAGATGTTCTCAAAAGAAAAAAGAAAAAAAAAGAATTTTCAATAAAAAAAAAATCAAAATGCTTGTTTCATAACAACATATTCATCCTTAAAACACAAAATATATATCGGTTCCCTATATATACGTTCAGAAGTAAAATTTTTGATTATTCCTTATAAATTTTGATCATAAATGAACAAAATATATGTTCAGAAATAAAATTTTTGATTACTCCTTATATATTTTTATCACAAATGAACAAAATATATGTTCTCTGATTTAGTTATTGATCATCCAGAAACCAAATACATGTTAAGAAATAAAATTTTTGATTATCAGCAAACAAATAAAATATTTTCTTATATGGAAGTTTTGATGATAAAAATGCAACAAGAATCACTGTTCTTAAATAAATATTTTGATTATCAAAAGGCAATAAGATTTATGTTTATGTAGATATACAGTCACGTGAAACATAATCTTACAGTAAATTTTTCACTGCAAAATATAGTAAGAACAAATGTGTTCCATATATAATTTTTCATTATTCATTACAGGAGCAAGAACTATGACCACATACATAATTTGTATGATAAAATAAAGGAAAAAGAAATAAACACTAATCATTATCAATATCATCAAGTGCTCTGCCGACCAGCATGGCTGGTCATGCCTTTCTACATCTTGCTATCTCCAACACTATTTATCTGTTCCATTGCTGAGCTGACACCCTTCCATGCCATGATAAACATCTGCTGTCATGTATTTTTCTCTCGTTGCCTTACCCTCTCTCTTATTCCTTTTAAGCATTCTGAGTCTTTGAGGTTCATTCCTGCAGATATCACCCACCTCCATTCATCTCTCTGGTTGGCCTTCTCTTTCCAGTTGGTGACACCAAGTGTTTGCAGGTCTGTCTGGATATTATCTCTCCATCGTCTTCTTGGTCTTACCCTATCTCTCTTTCTATAAACTTTTATACCAGTTTTTCTCTTCTCATAAAAAGGCCACACACACAAAAAAGATGATGCCTGCCTCTTTCTGATGTTGGGACAAGTTTCCGCTGGGTCTTAGCCTCTTTCAAGCCCAGAAAAAAGATACACAGATGTTCTTCTATTCCAGAGTGCCAAACCGTCCAGCCTCTTTTCCCTAGGTCTATCTCTGCCTCTCTTCCTCTTCAACTTTCCTGCTGACATGATATTCTCCAGACAGGACCAAAGAATGCAGACTGTCTCTTTCTGTCTATCCCAGCAACAACAAAAATAAAATATAAAACCCTAACAAGTATAAAATAACATAATGCATATTCTGATAATTTATAATCAAGATGTCCTAACCCAAAATAAGTTTCATGATAAAAACAACAGCATAAAACTTCATCAAAATTTTGCACGTAAAACAGATATAATCAAGAAACCAAAATACAAGTGGAATGTTGTAAAATTGAAAAGAATTATTGACAAAATATGAACATCCTTTGAGAAGCTGAATAAATAAAGAATACAATTTGAGAGTCTTGCAAAGAAAAAAATTATTAATAAATACATCCAGATCTCATAAAGAAACACATGAATGCGTCAAGATCTCATTAAAGTAGAAGTCTATAACTCATAAAATTAAACAATAACCGCAACCATATCTCATAACAGTAAACATTGGCTGCATCCATATCATCACAGTAAACAATGTCATAAAATTAACTTTTGTTTTTTAAAGTCCCAAGCAACGCACCATGGGTGACCGGGTATTTTGTATTTGTGACCAGGCATTTTCCATGTGTACCAACAAAACACTGAATGGTGTGGCTGGTATTTAGCCTAATCATACTATAGAAATCTAGCTAGTTATTCCAATGTCTAGCTGGGTATATGTTTGCTGCAACTGTGACAGTTGTGCTCCCGTACTCCGTTTATGTTTACTGTGATTATTGCTACCTTGGAATGCCCAGCTAAATATCCTGGTAATTAAAGAGCTGGCTCAGATCATCCCATAAATCAACCAAGAACCAGGTTTGGATCTCATAACAGGAACAATCTAAGAAAACTGATAAATAAATAACAAATGCTTTTCACAAACTCCTAAAATTAACTGATGAACATCTGTCCAGATCCTGTAAGATAATGATTACTCCCAGATCTCATACAAATAATGAACACTCCTATATCTCACAAAATAATGAACACTTTCCAGACATAAAATAATGAACACTTCAAAATCTCATGAAAAAAATGAACACTCCCAGATCTCATAAAATTAAATAACGAACCCTCCTCCAAACCGGTTAAAAGAAACAGCCCACCAAACTAATGAAGTGAATGTGAGACAACAAAAACAGCTAACACAGAAGACCACCGTGACAGATCAAACAGAGAATATACAATGGTGGTACATGTGGTAAATATTGTAAACATCTGCTGATTAAATATAATACACATATCACCAGACACAACTGGTAGTGACATTCTAACTATGTTCTTACATTTAATGGATTTTTTTTTTTTTTTTAGAAATCTTTAGTGTGTAAAATAAAAATAACTAAAAAGAATTTTTAAAAACTGCACGGAGACTTTTAGTTCTGAATGTAAGGTTACAGCTAAAAGGTATTTTCACTGCTTGGGATGTAAGCTTACTCTTAAAAGGTATTCTTATTGCTTGAGATGTAAGCTTACATTTAAAAGGTATTCTCACTGCTTGGGATGTAGGCTTACACTTAAAAGGAATTATTTCTGCTTTGGATGTAAGCTTACACTTAAAAGGTTTTCTTTCTGTTTGGGATGTAAGCTTACACTTAAAAGGTATTCTTTCTGTTTGGGATGTAAGCTTACACTTAAAAGGTATTCTCATGGCTTAAAATGTAAGCTTACAGTTAAAAGGTATTCTCGCTGCTTAGGATGTAGGCTTACAGCTAAAAGGTACTCTCAGAGCTTGGGATGTGAGCTTACAGTTAAAAGGTATTCTCACTGCTTGGGATGTAAGCTTACACTTAAAAGGTATTTTTTATCTTGGGATGTAAGCTCATAGTTGAAGATACTTGTTTAAACAATGCATCTGCATCCTAAAGAATGAAAGTATTTCTTAATGAAGAAGTCCAATTCTGTTTGCTAGTGCTATTGTTAAAAGGCAAGATGAGGCTGAAGGACAGAATGTGTGGAAAGAACTCCGAAAATGAAAGAGTAATAAGACTAAAGGAGTAACAAGAGTAAAGAAGATGGGATGAACGGAGTAATTAGGTTGAAGGATTAGTGAGGCTAAATTGCAAAGAGGCTAAAGTAATTGAGAGGTAAAAAAGAGTAATTCACATTAATCCAGAAAAGGGACCATGTTGGTCATATTAGAAGTACCTTTATTGGTACAAACATATAATGTAAACAATGATAATATCTTTAAACTGTAAGCTTATATCCTAAACAATCAGAGTATATTTAAACTGTAAGCTTATATCCTAAACAATCAGAGTATATTTAAACTGTAAGCTTATATCCTAAACAATCAGAGTATATTTAAACTGTAAGCTTACATCCTAAACAATGAGAGCATGTTTTATGCAGCTAATGTCCTCAACAATGAAAGTAACATCTACTGTAAGCTTACAAGCAAAACAAACACAGTATCTTTTATCTGCAAGCTTATATCATAAACACTTAGAGTACTTTTTAACCGTAAGCTCACATTCAAAGCTAGAAGTCTCTTTTCAGTTTTGAGTTACCTACATAAATACTAAAGATAAAAGTATCCACTAAATCTGACTTGACCATTAGTATTTTAAAATTATAAGTAAAAACACCTTTGCAGTCTAAGCTTTGAGTATAATTACACCCCAAGATAGAATTATCCTTACAGACCGAGCAGGCAGTCTCATGATACCCCAAACTAGAATTATCCTTACATACCAAGCAGGCAGTATCATAATACCGGAAACTAGAATTATCCTTACATACCTCTCATGATACCCCATACTAGAATTATCCTTACATACCGAGCAGGCAGTCTCATGATACCCCAAACTAGAATTATCCTTACATACCAGGCAGGCAGTATCATTATACCCCAAACTAGAATTATCCTTACATACCAAGCAGGCAGTCTCATGATACCCCAAACTAGAATTATCCTTCCACTCTCAGCTATAATTATTCTTCTCTCCTAGTCTAGGCTTGTGTATCCTTATCTTTGTTTTCGCCACCGACATGAAGCCTGTATTGTGGTGAATGTGGTTCTTCTACGACTTCAAGCTGTGCATCATCGATGGGGGCTGTTTCCTCATCCTGAGCAGCTCTCTCCTCTTCAGCAAGCTTAGAGTCGGTTACTATCTTCTTCCCGTCTCCCTGGTGCTCAATCTCTCCTTGAATTGCAATTCGTAACTGTTGTGAAATAAAACAAAGAGCGATTATTTCCATATCATCATCATCACTATCATGCTGGCCTGCCGAGAATAAAGGTTAAGGCAGGTAATAGCAAATACAGTGGGAACCTCCGGACATAGATTTAATCTCTTCCATGATGAATCCTAAAACCATTTGCCCCATCAAAATTAATGTTCTAACCTCCAAAAATCCAAAAAACAAAATGAGGTGTTTTGTTGTTATTAAACAGGGAAATTTGTGGCACTGCTTTTTTGTTTTTGTTTTTATAGACAGCAGAAAATGGGGTTACTTCCCACCATGATGCTACAGTCCATCATCAGTAAGTGCCTTGTCAACTGGTTCAAGTCTTCCTCCAGAATATTAACAGTAGCTAACCCATTGAAACGTTATTTGAGATGTTTTTGTGTAATGCCGAGAGTTCTCGTATCTCCAGCTCGCCTCCTATACTGGGGCAACACAAATGGCAAGCCTGACCTTGTATCCTTCACTCCTATCCTGAGGTTTCACTGTACTGCTACAGGGAAGTGAGGTGTTTTGCTTTCACAGGTGGAGTGACCAGTTCCCTTTCTCATCCCCTTTCCTTCGTAGATAATTCCCCAAAACACTGCAGAAATTATTTTGTACCCAATTTGATTCAGCTGTAAGAATAAGTATGTGAATAAATATAACACTTAAAAGGATGGGACACAATCGACTTCGCAGCCACATGTACATACAATTTAAAATCAGCGAATCAGCCATGTGCACATGTGGATTGGCACCTGAGACAACAGATCATGTCCTCCAAGACTGTCCTAAATACAACATATCAAGACAAAACTTTTGGTAAAGAGAAATATCGGTGCAAGTCAAACTTTACGGGTCGCTGAGTGAATTACAAAAGACAGTGAAGTTCATTCTAGAGACAACACTGCAGATATAGATAATCTATTTCAAGTGAACGATAAGAAGAAGAAGGATGGGAAGCTAGTATCTGGATGCATAGTGCAGTATGTGGATCTTCTTCTTTTGTGCTACTGCTTATGCTGTAAAGTATCACAGAGAGGAGTTAGATGTAGTTTCCTGTCTTCAGCTGGTTGCCTGCCTAGCTTGTGTTAATGTCATATTTAATTTCTGTAGTATCTCTTTTACTCCCTCCAAGTATCTCTTTCTTTGTTGGCCTCTTGATGTGTTGACAACATGGCTACCTAATCGTCAATGACACCCGCTGAACAATGAAATCAAGAAGAGAAAAGGCTGCATGTTAAAAAGAGGAAAAGCATGGATGGGTCAGGCTGAGGACATTATTCAGCAGATGTGTTCACTTGAGGAAAAAATCATGATTTGAAAGTTGACCCCAAAAATTAGAGAAATACTTGGTGCAATGCGGCAGTATTAGCTTACAACACGTATGAGGGCTTCCAAGCAGGAATAGAAACTGTTGCAGCCACTTATTGACTTAGAAGACGCGTACAACAGCGTTCCATACAACATGCTCATCAGACTGATGATGGATATCCACAAAGAGATAAAATGGGTCAACTGTATCGCAGCAGTGCTCTTCAAAAGAACAATGTCGATGAGGTGTGGTATTGGGTCATTAAAACCTCAACGTGTCTTAATGAGCTTGCCCCAGGAATCACCATTGTCTCCCATTCTTTTAATGTGTACACATCATTAGATAATATCCTTGAGTGAAGACGAGGAAACAACAGGAATGAAATTACGACAACGCTACAGCATGAATTAGATCAACTCAGTGAGTGGTGCCAGGAATCAAGCGAACAGGTAAACCTGGCAAAGGTTTTCTTAACATGGTTCTCCTTGAAAACCCACACTGTCAAAATACCTACACCAGTTGTGAGCATGCATGGTATAGAGAACGATAGAACGAACACAATGAGATACCTTGGCATAACTTTTGACAGATGTTTGTCATACAAGAATCACATAGACAATGTCATAGTTAGAGCCAGGAAAGGTCTGACAGCGCTGAAGGCAATGGCATATGCTGACACTGAACAAAGACTACTCTTCCTGCTCTATCAGGGACTTGTATAAAGTGTTATAGACCATGGTCTGGTTTCTCTCTGTCAGCAGAACCCAGCTAGAAAGACGGGACTGGGTACAAAACTTCTGTGTGTGCATGTAAGTGGTGCTATCTGGTAATACAAAGTTGGTACATGTAGCTCATTTATCAGCTACTTCTGTGTGTGCATGTAAGGGTTGCTATCTGGTAATTTATGTATAACTATGGGTTGCTATATCTTCTTAATGAACCAAAGACTACTGAAGCTTGCTAAAAAAACAAAACACACACACATAAAATAAAAATACTACAACACCTACCTCCTTGAGGCCAACCACCCCAACAAGACAGCCTGTGTTGGTGACAAAGGCATGGCTGAGTCCAAGCAAAGAGAACAGAGAATGAACCTGGAGACATTTTTCCACATATAAGAAATGTATAAAACACACAGTGAATGCTTGAACAACATGATGGGAATGAAATATGGTTGGCTACATTACCCATAAAGATTTAAGCTGCAAAAGCCAACTAACCACGAACAAGCTTTAAAACAAACTAAAACCAGCCAATCAAGACAAGAGAACTCTCTTCTCTTAGAAAACAAATTATGAAATGGCACAGAGATACACAAAAGAAGTCTGCATCATTGACTAACATGCAGTGGACTGGTGAAAAAAATATGGCATGGGGTGAGTCGCACATAATGGTAAAGGACAGGACAACTTAGTGTGAGCTGCTTGAGGGCCTACATTCTCTTCACTAGGGGATTTAAAAAAAAACAGTACAAAAAGCAACTTACGTAGTGAACAAGAGACAAGGTTTAAGGCCAAGACTAAGTTTCATAGGGGGTAAGTTTTTAACAAGAGAGACATGGTTTCAAGCCAAGACTAAATTTCATAGGGGGTAAGTTTTTAACAAGAGAGACATGGTTTCAAGCTAAGACTAAGTTTCATATGGGGTAAGTTTTTAACAAGAGAGACATGGTTTCAAGCCAAGACTAAGTTTCATAGGGGGTAAGTTTTTAACAAGAGGACAGAACATTAGCAGTGCCATTTTAAACTTCACATACATCACTTTCACTTTCCGGTAATATAAGTTGCAGTGATATGAGGCAAATCTAAAAAGATATACTTTTTTTTTGCCAACTTTAGTTGTCAAACTTGAACTCTTACTAAAACTATTGGGGGCAAAAATCATAACAAAAATGAGATCTCTTAGAAGAAGAGCTGCAGGAGTAAAATTATATTAAATTAAAAAATTAGGAAATCAGAAGAAGAGTAGGACTGCAACCTGTTATACAATTTATTATAGAGCAGCATAGGAGATGGCTTAGCCAGCTGATGAGAATGCTCTGGTACAAACTGCCACAAAGATCCATGCTGAAGAAATATATGCTGAACACAGAGCGTGGGGACCATGCAGAACATGGAATGGTGGCATCAAGAACTGTCTTAAGAAAAGGAAGACCAACTTATACAATGCACATGAAAGAACACACAGAAGACCCTGACATCTTTCCCTGCCCCAGGCCTCCAACACTTCGATGAGGTAACTCGAGAAAGAAATAGGAATATGATATAATGGCTAGTGCACTTGCCTGCTGAAACAGTGGTATAAGTTCAATATCTCGTTCCAAACCAAAATTATACAAATGGAAAACAATTTAAAGAACTTTAAGGAAATTATCTTGGAAAGAAAAGTAATGAGGAGGGGAACATTTAACCTCGTAGAGCCACTATGAGGATATTGTGAGGCCTAATGTTACAAACCAAAACTTCAATATTTGCTATAGGATCATCTTTACTGTTGGATAACCCACCCCATTCGAAAGATATAACAAAACAAAAAAACAATGTATTATAAAACATACACAATCAAATACATACATACATATATACAGCCAATCCTGATATATGCAAGTGAAATACCCAGTCACCAATTAGTGAAAAAATGATGTGGAAACTGCAGAGATGAGTTTTTCTACACTAATGATGAGAACAAAATGGACAAATACAATGTGAAATGATAGGGAGGAAAACTGGACTAAGTCCTGACAGCGTTATAAATGGAAAAAAGACTATGATAGGGAGGAAAACTGGACTAAGTCCTGACAGCGTTATAAATGGAAAAAAGACTATGATAGGGAGGAAAACTGGACTAAGTCCTGACAGCGTTATAAATGGAAAAAAGACTATGATAGGGAGGAAAACTGGACTAAGTCCTGACAGCGTTATAAATGGAAAAAAGACTATGATAGGGAGGAAAACTGGACTAAGTCCTGACAGCGTTATAAATGGAAAAAAGACTATGATAGGGAGGAAAACTGGACTAAGTCCTGACAGCGTTATAAATGGAAAAAAAGACTATGATAGGGAGGAAAACTGGACTAAGTCCTGACAGCGTTATAAATGGAAAAAAGACTATGATAGGGAGGAAAACTGGACTAAGTCCTGACAGCGTTATAAATGGAAAAAAGACTATGATAGGGAGGAAAACTGGACTAAGTCCTGACAGCGTTATAAATGGAAAAAAGACTATGATAGGGAGGAAAACTGGACTAAGTCCTGACAGCGTTATAAATGGAAAAAAGACTATGATAGGGAGGAAAACTGGACTAAGTCCTGACAGCGTTATAAATGGAAAAAAAGACTATGATAGGGAGGAAAACTGGACTAAGTCCTGACAGCGTTATAAATGGAAAAAAAGACTATGATAGGGAGGAAAACTGGACTAAGTCCTGACAGCGTTATAAATGGAAAAAAAGACTATGATAGGGAGGAAAACTGGACTAAGTCCTGACAGCGTTATAAATGGAAAAAAGACTATGATAGGGAGGAAAAACTGGACTAAGTCCTGACAGCGTTATAAATGGAAAAAAGACTATGATAGGGAGGAAAACTGGACTAAGTCCTGACAGCGTTATAAATGGAAAAAAGACTATGATAGGGAGGAAAACTGGACTAAGTCCTGACAGCGTTATAAATGGAAAAAAGACTATGATAGGGAGGAAAACTGGACTAAGTCCTGACAGCGTTATAAATGGAAAAAAGACTATGATAGGGAGGAAAACTGGACTAAGTCCTGACAGCGTTATAAATGGAAAAAAGACTATGATAGGGAGGAAAACTGGACTAAGTCCTGACAGCGTTATAAATGGAAAAAAGACTATGATAGGGAGGAAAACTGGACTAAGTCCTGACAGCGTTATAAATGGAAAAAAGACTATGATAGGGAGGAAAACTGGACTAAGTCCTGACAGCGTTATAAATGGAAAAAAAGACTATGATAGGGAGGAAAACTGGACTAAGTCCTGACAGCGTTATAAATGGAAAAAAAGACTATGATAGGGAGGAAAACTGGACTAAGTCCTGACAGCGTTATAAATGGAAAAAAAGACTATGATAGGGAGGAAAACTGGACTAAGTCCTGACAGCGTTATAAATGGAAAAAAAGACTATGATAGGGAGGAAAACTCGACTAAGTCCTGACAGCGTTATAAATGGAAAAAAGACTATGATAGGGAGGAATACTGGACTAAGTCCTGACAGTGTTATAAATGGAAAAAAGACTATGATAGGGAGGAAAACTGGACTAAGTCCTGACAGCGTTATAAATGGAAAAAAGACTATGATAGGGAGGAAAACTGGACTAAGTCCTGACAGCGTTATAAATGGAAAAGAGGGGAGGGGGAGCAAGGGAGAAGATGATGGACAGTTTAGCATCATGGCATGGAAAAATCATCTCAATTAGACATCACAGTAGATGTGAGACAGAAGGCAGTGAAGAAGCATGACTACCAATGCCATTCAACATGAGGTTTAAAAAACAAAACATAGCCAAAAACAAATCCCATGATACAGAGAAGCAGAATGATGACTGACCTTGTGCAGTGATGTCCTCTCCACCAACTGAAATGGGGCAGGGTCAATCTGCACTCCCTCCCAGACTATCGGCTGTCGAAGTCTTTCTTGTTCCCAAGCTTCTTGCTAGTTTTAAAACAGGGGAAGTTTAACACTAACTAGCATGTAAAACATGAGAAGTGCAACATTACCTAGCATAAAAATATGGCAAGTATAACATTAACTAGCATAAAAACATGGCAAGTTTAACATTACCAAGCATAAAAACATGGCAAGTATAACATTAACTAGCATAAAAATATGACAATTATAACATTACCTAGCATACAAATCACAGGGAGTATAGAATTAACTAGCACAAAAACATAGGAAGTATAACACTAACTAGCACATAAAACATGGGAAATATAATATTTAACTAGTACATAAAATATTGGGATTGCATTTACTAGCACGTAAAACATGGGAAGCGTAACACTAGCCAGCACGTAAAACATGGGGAGAACAACATTAACCCTGCTCATAGGAAGACAGATGAGAATACAACAAAGATAAAACACATAACAAAGGCAGAACATACTGAAATCATAGAAAGTATTACTAGCTAGGACATACAATTATTAAAGTATAAAGTATAAATGAGCGAGGACATAAAATATGGAAATTATTACTTGCTAAACATTATTTAAGAAGAGAAAGAGAATCTTTAAAAGCCAAATAAATACTATTTTGATATATGGAAGTGAATCAAGGATAGTTGGTAAGTTAGTGAAAAATTATTTGGAAGCTATTGAGATGTGGTTTTATAGATGGATGATGAGAATACCCTGGACACATAACAAGAGTAATAAGGACGTCTTTAAAGAAAATGACCCATGAAGAGAAATGATTGCCTAAATCAGAAAGAGACAATCTACATTCTTTGGTCACGTGATGAGAAGGAGAAAACTGCAGTACATCATGACAGTAGGAAATTTGCCATGGAGGAGAGGCAGGGGGAGACCGAGAGAACAGATACTGGACAGTTGGACATCATGGCATGGAGGATAAATCTGTGTCAGAGCTGATTGAAGGTACATGAGGCAGAAGGTTGACTACTAAGGCCACACAGCATGGACTTTAAGAAGAAGAAACATTAAAACCAGTGTCATGCTGACCACATTACCCAATGAGGACCGACTGGTCTACAAAAACACCAGTTTAGCCTCATATGCCTGATGTGCCACTGGCAGGTAAAGGGAACTTCTCCACTTTTTCCAGTTCTTTTGTGCGGAGAAAAACAACGATACCTTTTACACGTTCAACTCACTTCTTTACACCATTCATTCATACACTGGCACCTTTCCGTCTTTCCAGATGATAGTGTTACATTGTGCTATGAGGAGGCATGGAACTCACAGCCAATGGCGATAGTAAACGTAACTAGCAAGACCCGCCTGCCTTAAGAAAAGTCTTCCACAGTTATAGCATGGGATTTCAGGACCACTGCTGTCAAAGTTTGTGTTTAGTTTGTTTCTTCACAAACCCTCAGCTCTCATCCTTTCTGTAATCATTCCTTCCTTAATTCTCATTCCCTTTCTTATGTGCCTCCTCCACACAACACGGCCCATAGCATTTTGTTCACATGAATTCTATCTCAATACCTGTATCATTTGTATCCTGCTTGCAAACATCTTTATATCTTAGTAGAGGTTGGCCTAAACATCTTCTACCCAAACCACAGAGGTTGTCTTTAGGGACTATTCCATCATCCATTCTCTAGGTGTGACCCAGACACATGACCCTTCTTGGACAGAGAACTGTTGTAATACCTGCTCTTTCCAATACCTCAGCGTTTGTGATCTTGTCCTGCCACTTAATACCAAGTATTCTTCTTAGGCATCACATGGGAAAGCTATTTAGCCACTTCTATACAAGCACTGGTTATAATTATGGTCATTCTTTGTTCGTGTTATTTCTTTGTTTCTTTTTTGTTTGTAGCACCTTGACGTGCCTGGCACTATTTTACTCTGGAACATTAAAAGCTAAAAGTATACATGAACTAACACACACAACATGAGATACAAAGAACAGCTACAACAAAAAATATACTAGTAGAAGATGAAATTTGGAAAGTATAAAGGAGCTCAGGCATAAAACAAGGGATATATAAAACAAGGGATATATAAAACAAGGGATATATAAAACAGAAAATCCACAAATACAAAAGGAAACAGGGGAAGTATAATGAGACCAATGTGTAATGATGAAACATTTGCAAGAAAATGACATCTACTTACATCTGCAATAGGCAGGTTCTTGATCTTGGTGGGTTTTGGGTCTGCTGACTGGAGACAGCAGAGAAAAACATATATGACTGATAACAGTAAATGATCTGTAATAAAAGTACTGTATTTTTAATTGTATAAGACGCCCCAATGAATAAGAAAACATTTTTGTAAAACAGAAGTGGATGAACAACCATAACTTTTTGCCAGAGTTTACAGCCAGTGAACATAAAGAAGAAGAAGAAGAAGAAAAAGGAGGAAAAGAAGAAGAGAAGGAGAAGTAAGAGAGTAGAAGAGGAGGAGGAGGAGGAGGAGGAGGAGGAGGAGGAGGAGGAGGAGGAGGAGGAGGAGGAGGAGGAGGAGGAGGAGGAGGAGGAGGAGGAGGAGGAGGAGGAGGAGGAGGAGGAGGAGGAGGAGGAGGAGGAGGAGGAGGAGGAGGAGAAGAAGAAGAAGAAGAAGAAGAAGAAGAAGAAGAAGAAGAAGAAGAAGAAGAAGAAGAAGAAGAAGAAGAAGAAGAAAGAATCCCCCTTAAAACTCTGGAAATTGTTTGGTTCCCATTTGTATGAAACTGTGTCTAAGAGTCATGGTGGTTGGAAAAATTCCTGCCCCTTTTGGGGGTTAAACCCAGATGAGTTTTTTGATTGGCAAGTTCACTAATTACAATGCCACTTCAGCTCCTCTAATGAGCCTATGTTAGTAGAACGACAAAAACTCTACGTACCACTTTAACTCTCTTGTACAAGCTTGTTAAACTCCCCTTCTGTTGAGACAAAATCAAACAAAAAGACATTCCAAAATGAACCAAATTGTTAGAAAACAACAGGGAGACAGCACCATATATAGTTTCTTTAAGTATATCAGGTTTGCTGTCTAAACAGTTGAGTTAAGCTGAATGGAGTTGAGTCAAGAATCGACATCACAGCACTCCGGGCATTCCCATGCGTGCCCTGTCCTCATCTTCGGCAGCCAGAGCAGAGTTCCAATACTAATGGTACCAGTCACAATCTGGTTATATGTTCTTCTTACCTTTCCTCTGAGTAGAGTGAGCTGGCCAGCCCTTCCGGTTGCACCCACATGCCTCATTCTCTTCAGGCCATAATAAGCTTCTTTCTCTACTGATTTTGTTACTTGTTCCCAAAGGGCCTTGACCACATCTGTCTTGTTATGTTATTTAAACAGTGAAACTAGTCTAATATATACGTTTTTCTTCTTCTTCTCTAGTCCTGCTCTGTCCTTCAGCGTCAGGTTTTGATGAGGCACTGTGTGCGAGCCTTGGTTTGTGCTATACAGATGCTGGTATTTATGGCTTCTGACATTTCTACATATTACTTTCCATGGCAAAGAAGTTCAGTCCCCTGCCTTGTGCTCTGAAGGTTGAGAACATTATTGTTCCATTAATGAGTGCAGTGGTAAACTGTTCAGTTAACGAGTGCACTGTTAAATCGTTCAGTCAATGAGTGCAGTGGTAAACTGTTCAGTTAACGAGTGCAGTGTTAAATCGTTCAGTCAATGAGTGCAGTGGTAAACTGTTCAGTTAACGAGTGCACTGTTAAATCGTTCAGTCAATGAGTGCAGTGGTAAACTGTTCAGTTAACGAGTGCAGTGTTAAATCGTTCAGTCAATGAGTGCAGTGCTAAATTGTTCAGTCAATGAGAAAAATGTCAATTTTATCAATTAATGATGCAGTGCTAAAATGTTCAGTAAATGAGCATGTTCAGTAAATGAGTGCAATGCTAAACAGTTCAGTGAATGTGCGTGTGTGTTCTGGAGACTCCAGGAGGTCATCACTGAAAGAATGGAATTTGTGCAACACTTTCAGCGTGCAACAAGCTTCTTTGAGACAGTGTGCTACCAAATCACCAGCAGGTGTCTTTGAACCCCAATATTCCAGAACATGGAAGCTCTGTTTGCAATTCCTAAGCAGAGGTTGATTTAAATCAGAAGACAAACATCGGAGGATACCATAAGCAACTTACATCCAGTGTGAAAGGCCTGTCCTCTAAAATGCTCTCCTTTCTCTGTTTCGACAACTTGCGGTAAAAATTGTTCATCTCCGCTGTCGTAGAGGAAGCAAGAAACAAACATAAAACACTTCAGTGGTGCTAACAGCAAGGTAGGCTATAATCAACTGGTAGTAAAAAACCAACATCATAACACTCCAGTCAAACCTGTAGATGCTCCATTTTCCCTTAGCTAACATCACGAGATATTTATCATTCCATAAGTTGTGTGTTTGTTATTCCCCTTTTGTTAAGCTTTTTAGTTAGTTCCTTGGATTAATTGTTCCATCTTGTTGGCCATGCACCAGTTTACCACCAAGTTTTGCAGAACGAGCTAGCCTGTCTGCCCGGTAATTTTCTAACACACCTGAACATCCCGGAGAAAACACTTTGCACTTAAAAGCACTTCTGCTCTGCCCCAAAAACAACAATTCTCACTAGGACTATACTATACTATACAAACAGTTCTCACTGGCACTATACTATACTATTCAAAAAGTTCTCCCTGGGACTATACTATATAAACAGTTCTCACTGTGACTATACTATACTATAAAACTTTTCTCACAGGGACTATACTATAGCCCAAACTCAAGAAACGTTTAAAGTATCTAAATTATGGTATTCCAACTATCTGCACAGTGTGTGTTATTCAACGGGTGTGAAATCTTTCAGTGTTCTCGATGTGATTTACGTGTTTTCCAGTGTTCTCTTAAGGATGAATCTGTGTCAGGTCCAGCAAATCGGCAGTGGATTTAAGAGTTCACAAAAATCTGCTCTAGAAACAATATACGAGATATGAAGCGACTGAGCGCGCCCTGGCTCGGTTGCCGATCATCTGATAGACTGCGACGCCTAGCGGCACAAGCAGATTTTGACAAAAGAAAGAAAGAAGAAGAACTATCTGCTAAAGAGCAGTTCTTTAGGCTTTCCTTTGATGAAACTTTTTTCTATCATGGGTAAAAATAAAACTAATAACTTTCAGTTTGTAGCAACTGTACTAGCTACACAGCCTTAAATCCCCAGTTAAATAACCTCTTTGTCCTACACCGCTAAAATATGGCAAAAACAGGTAGTTGAGATATTTTTAAAAAACTTATTTTCTTAGATGGTCTTAGTGCAGTGGGTGTTTAATGTTTCCTGATAGCTTCACGATGCCTTGACCTGTACACCTTTGTATCTTTTGGAGGCTGTATAGTCTCAAAGCATGGTGTCCATCTCGAGTGCTAGAGGTCCCAGATTTGAGCCCAGATAAAGGCTGGGATTTATTCATGTGGACTTTTTGTAATTTTCCCTGGTCTCTGAGTAGTGAGATCAGAGGCCCGTGTGTATTGCTGCGCATATAAACAATTCCTTGGCAGCTGGAAACTGAAAAGAGTAGCCTAACCGCGGTGCCCTGACAAAATCTGGAGTAAAAAACTAACCAAAGTATTTCAGGATCCTCGGTGGTGCTACAGAGTTGGTGAACTGGCTAAGATTTTTTGGACTCAGGCTTGAGTTAGAAGTAGAATGGAGCATTTATGGGTTACACTTGTGTGCCACAATGTTGATCCATTGTTCAAACATTAAAGCTTTGAGTCTGATAGACACTGCTAATAAACCCAAGAGATACCACATTCTATGGCAGGTAGTGTATCTGTGCAACAGAGTGTGAGTTTCACAGCCTCATTGTGTATTTGTTCCAATCTTTCTAGACGTTGTTCTGCTGAGAGAGTGGAGGCCCAGACTTGTAGTCTATGACGTTTAACACAATTCCCTGAGAGAGATGGAAAACTAGGCACTGTTCAATATTTTCAGCTACCATAACCTTCAGTGCCGCCAGACATTTCCTGGCTTTGAGTGTGCCAATGTCTATGTGAGACTTGTACAACAGGCATCTGTCAAAGGTCATGCCCAGAAATGCCAGGATGATAACTGGTACTGAAGACACTCACCCCTCCTACAAGATGATGATGATGATGATGATGATGATAACAAAGCTGGAAAAAACATAACATCTTATATTTTACAGTGGTACTGAGCACAAACACTCAAATCTCTAGATTATACTCAGGTTTCTCACCTCTCAGGTCGCCTGTACTACGAGCTCGTTGAAGATTTGAGGCCGATGCAGACTTCTTGAGTATAGATCTCAGAGGGGCTTGAATGGTGTAGTAATTGCTCTGACTGTCCATTGTTCCATGGTAGTTGATTGTCTGTCCTGGCTGAAACAAGTAGGATGAAATATTCAGTAAATATCCAGTGCTGTAATTATAAATAAAGATATACACTGAGAAAACAATATTAAAATATAACCATTTCATGTTATAACGATTGACACCACTGAACACTGGGTTTTCCTATGCATGCTCACTCCTCTGGTGCAGCAGCCACCTATAACAACATGAGCAAGCTGACAGGCTTGCAGGTAAGCCACAGTGGACGGCACACGAGCCTGGACCAGGCTAATATACTGAATGCTCTAAAGAAGTAGGGTGACTGCTAGAACAAGTGACAATAGTGAATCTGGACCAGGCTAATATACAGAATGCTCTAAGGAAGTAGGGTGACTGCCAGAAAAAAGTGACAACAGTGAATCTGTAACTACGGTCAGATGCAAGAACATTAAGTTGAAAGGGGTTTTACCAAACAAGAGCATTACGTAGGAAGCTAGAGAATAATAATAAACCAAACAGAACTGGTGCTGCATCCGCTACACACTCTGGGATTTATTGAGGAGAGAGTCCAAACACTTATGGACTGAATTGTCCTATGTGCCATGCAGATGATCTGCCTACTAACTTAATAACTAAATTTTAACTTGATTGTGCTTGTTTGGAAGCCACAGGGTCAAAATGAATAAAGGCAGATGAAAAAACATATGAAGAAAACAATTAAGAGAATGAGGTGAACAATGCGGGAAGGGGATGTGCTCAACTGTATGCAATGGTAAAGGATAAAATGACTTGGTACGAGTTTACTGAAGGACTAAGCTTCACTAGGGAAATAAAGTATAGAAAAAGAAGACCAAAGGTAGAACAATAAGTAGAGGGTTTTCATCATTTAAAAAATAATGCTGAGACACAGAATGTTGGAGGTATACTGCAGCCAGCGATTCATTTTATCTTTATTTCATTTATTTAATTACTCACCACCGACAACAGTTGCATTGGAATATTTGTACCGGATGGCTTCAGAGGGTCATCTCTGGCTTCTCTCTCTTTCATCTGTGCTTCCTCATTTGCATCCACACGGGTCACCTGGAACCTCTGCTTCTCCTTGGTTCCTCGATCCCCATCTCCTCCCGAAGCTGTTTCAGACACAAGTGAGATCGATGGGACTGCTGCAGCACTCTGGACTGTCTTAGCTAGGAGAGAGGCAATCCCATGATCAAAGCTGTACATGATCTTCTGGTCAAGACTCATATGGATTAGTAGGATGCGCTCCAGTTCAAAACGCTGTATTGATCCGAGGAGGATCATAGAGCCTGGAACATGAGCATTTATACAACATCCTTAAATCATGAATTATAAAAATGGTGTTTAACTATTTCAGTGCCAGAAAGTTTTGCAAACATATATTCATTCTTTTTATTTTTCCCTTTATCCCCCAATGGATTATAAGCTCTCAACTAACTTGAAACATTGTCTTTTAAAGTTGGAGTGCATCTGCTGAAAGACAAGGAATCAACAGACTGCACACAAAGAAGCTAGTTCTGTAAAATGTTTGCACATGCAAAACTCAAGTCCTGGAGCAGAGCCAAAGTCCAGAAGTGGATGAACAGCCAGGACTTTCTGTCAGAGTCATCAGCTAACGTAAACAAATAAACAACTTGCACTGTTGTCACATTCTTTGCCGTCGTATGTAGCTCACCCCATGTTTTCCCAACTTTTTCAGCCAGTTCTCTCATTCTTTTCTCCATGTTTTTGCTGTTTTTTTGTTTGTGTTTGCCTCTATTCTTTGGCTCTGTGGGCTCTAGTGAGAAAAAATGCAAGATTTCTAAATGTTTACTCTAACTCGCTTGAAGGTGCTGTGCCACAGACATTACAGCAACAATATTTCACAAAACACAAACTCCATAGTTCCAGCAATGAGACCCAGGGATCTCAAAACATCTGCGCTTGCAAGTCCAAAATCTAATCCACAGTCTTCACACTTGAGGCAAGTGGCTCAACCACTTTACCATGATGGTTGCTGGTGTTGTGCGAACACTTCTTCTTCTAGTCCATGCCTTGAAGCGTTGGTAGTCATTTTATACATTAAGTTTTGTCTCATGCACTTTCAGTCAATTCTGACCCAGGTGATCTTTTAATCCTTGATGTCAAACATCTTCTTTCTCGGTCTCCATCTGCCTCTTTCCCCCTCCAACCTTCCCAACGTCATGATGTACTCCAGTTTTCTCCGCCTCATGAATTTATCAATGAATGTAGAATGCCTCCTTCTGACGCATGCAGTCAATTTCTTTAAAGACATCTTCATTTTTTGTATGGTAATATGTTCATGCTCATTCAGCTACAAAAAACCACATCTCAGGCTTCCAAATAACTGTTCATCAACCATCAAAGTCTCCATGATTCATTTCAATATATCAGGATAGGATTTATATAGCTCTTCAGAATTCTTCTTCTCAGTGAGTCTTTTAATGCTGTTGAGAATGTCTTTTAAGACTTAGCAGGTGTGGTGTGGACAGTTTACAGTGAATGGAGAAACATAACTTACTTTTGGAGTCAACAAGAGGATATGATCTATGCTTGGTATTCATTATCAGCTCTTGTAGATCAGCATATGTCGCATCAAAGGAGATAAATTTTACATCCCTCACCATGAAGTCTTCCACGTATAACAACCAAGCACTGCGAAAGTAGAAAATACAGAGATCTCATAATGATGTACCCAGCTGACATAGTTCTATATTAACCCCATGCAAAAGCAATGCACACCCTAGGATATGCAGAAACAACCCCTGTGGGTTACAAGACCCACAGGACAGAACAGACCCACTGCCCCATAACAAGCATGTCATAAAAGGCAACTAATCAGGGGTTTGTTAAAATCAGATGTCAACTGTTCTGGTAGCACACTGATTATACACAAGTCATTCTCGTCCTCTCACAGTCCATCCTTGCTGGACCCACACCTAATTCCTCATTCCTACTTTCTCTGACATGTTATTTCATCTAACCTTGTGTCCTCTATCAGCAATTGTTCATATATGGTCTTCTGATGTCTCGTTTGTCCAGGACAAGTGTTCCAGTAGCTATCGCTTTTGTAGCCAGAAAATCCCCAGATTGTAACACATCGTAGCAACCACGTCTTTAAGGGCAAATGCACAAGAAGACATACACGGACATGACAAAAAAAGAGGTTATTATACATACATATAATTTCTTTACCGATTCTCTGTGGTATCTTATCCAGGACAACGACATTTATAAGCATGCAGTGTGGCACATGTATTTGGTATTTTTCAGATAGATGAAAAAGTTTCCTTCTTCTTATAGTCTATGACGTGTCTATCCCTAACCTGTCTCGTGTACTTCAATCAATTCTGACACAGATGATTCTCCATGCCATGAGGTCAAACTATCCAGCACCTTTTCTCTCTGTCTCCATCTGCCTCTTTTCCTCTCTAAATTTCCCACCGTCAAGATGTCAGAATTTAATAGGAACTGAAGAGGTGTGCGTGGACAGATCAGATAACATCAGTGCTGTAAAGATAATTCCAAGGAGTGTACTGCATGGAGTGAGGAAAGTAGGAAGGAAATAGAGACAAAGGAGAAAATGACTGTAGACATGTTAAGAGCTCAGCATCTTGAAATAAACATGCCTTATACATATCAAGGCATGCTCCTGAAATCTCATGCTTTACTGTGGACAACTATTTTTAACACATGCTGGTCTTGCCAATCCAATATCACTGAGATGGACTGATTCCTACATATCTCTATTGCTGAATGGAACTCTACTGTCTGGAAAGATGGAAAACTGCTAACCAGATGTAAGGATCTAGCTTTTATATTGTGTATGCTGCTTCGAGTCGAAAGAAGGATGGCCTTAGAAATGCAACTATCAAATGGCATTAAAAGTCTACCATTAAGCACGAGCAATGAAATCAAAGTTCAAATTCTGACAGCATACATCTTCCCTGTAGCAACAAATAGATTAGAATGGCGCTGCCAGGAGTTACCAGGGGATCTGGCTGAGGCTCAACAGTCAGGGAAAGGATGAGACGGATCTACAATCAGATGGTTACTGGTACTATCGGAATTGGAACTCTTTGCTTGCCGCTGAAGTTTTGGACTGAGCACTCATGGGAGGGTAACGAGTGCTGTGATGTTGATTCTTAATTCAACACTGAACATTCAGCAAATGGGTCATCAGAAAGTTGCTCCACTCCTCTGCCAACAAAAACCACACAAAATTTCCACTGTCGCTCGTGCAAACAATTGTCACAGACTGCAGTCTCAGCACATCCAAAAGCATACATGTACATTAAATGCATAAGGCAGCAGTAAAAAGTGCCAACACAAATGTCCGGCTCTAGAAATGGAGTTTATCATTGATGAAAGCATCAGTTACAACAGATCAGCACATACATAAGGCACCACAAGTTCTCTGGCAACAGGCCACTCGTCACTGTCTGAATCTGCAATTCACAACATGAACCACGTTGGGCACAGTCAAATAGCTTTCCAAATGAAATCTGCAGATCACAGTGTCATGCCATGCACTTAACTCAGTAGATGGGTGATAAAAATATATCCCTTCAGTCCACATGTGGTTGAAAATGCAACAGCTAACTGCTGTCAGAAACAAACATTTGCCACAAATAAAAACAGTAAAACGCCTATCCACCAAACTGACCGGAAGTCTATCCTCAAGTACCAGCAATTCTAGGGATATGAAACAGCCAGTATGAAATGACATTTCTAATTTCATTTTCTCCACACATACATGTACGCATGTGGTAAAAATAGGGTTGACTAAAGTTAAGAGTTAGGGGTGACTGCAGTTAAGAGTTAGGGGTGACTGCAGTTAAGAGTTAGGGGTGACTGCAGTTAAGAGTTAAGGGTAACTGCAGTTAAGAGTTAGGGGTGACTGCAGTTAAGAGTTAGGGGTGACTGCAGTTAAAAGTTAAGGGTGACTGCAGTTAAAAGTTAGGGGTGACTGCAGTTAAGAGTTAGGGGTGACTGCAGTTAAAAGTTAGGGGTGACTGCAGTTAAGAGTTAAGGGTAACTGCAGTTAAGAGTTAGGGGTGACTGCAGTTAAGAGTTAGGGGTGACTGCAGTTAAGAGTTAGGGGTGACTGCAGTTAAAAGTTAGGGGTGACTGCAGTTAAAAGTTAGGGGTGACTGCAGTTAAGAGTTAGGGGTGACTGCAGTTAAGAGTTAGGGGTGACTGCAGTTAAGAGTTAGGGGTGACTGCAGTTAAAAGTTAGGGGTGACTGCAGTTAAGAGTTAGGGGTGACTGCAGTTAAGAGTTAGGGGTGACTGCAGTTAAGAGTTAGGGGTGACTGCAGTTAAGAGTTAGGGGTGACTGCAGTTAAAAGTTAGGGGTGACTGCAGTTAAAAGTTAGGGGTGACTGCAGTTAAGAGTTAGGGGTGACTGCAGTTAAAAGTTAGGGGTGACTGCAGTTAAAAGTTAGGGGTGACTGCAGTTAAGAGTTAGGGGTGACTGCAGTTAAGAGTTAAGGGTAACTGCAGTTAAGAGTTAAGGGTGACTGCAGTTAAGAGTTAGGGGTGACTGCAGTTAAGAGTTAGGGGTGACTGCAGTTAAAAGTTAGGGGTGACTGCAGTTAAGAGTTAAGGGTAACTGCAGTTAAGAGTTAGGGGTGACTGCAGTTAAGAGTTAGGGGTGACTGCAGTTAAGAGTTAGGGGTGACTGCAGTTAAGAGTTAGGGGTGACTGCAGTTAAGAGTTAGGGGTGACTGCAGTTAAGAGTTAGGGGTGACTGCAGTTAAGAGTTAGGGGTGACTGCAGTTAAGAGTTAGGGGTGACTGCAGTTAAAAGTTAGGGGTGACTGCAGTTAAGAGTTAAGGGTAACTGCAGTTAAGAGTTAGGGGTGACTGCAGTTAAGAGTTAGGGGTGACTGCAGTTAAGAGTTAGAGGTGACTGCAGTTAAGAGTTAAGGGTAACTGCAGTTAAGAGTTAAGGGTAACTGCAGTTAAAAGTTAGGGGTGACTGCAGTTAAGAGTTAGGGGTGACTGCAGTTAATAGTTAGGGGTGACTGCAGTTAAGAGTTAGGGGTGACTGCAGTTAAAAGTTAGGGGTGACTGCAGTTAAGAGTTAGGGGTGACTGCAGTTAAGAGTTAGGGGTGATTGCAGTTAAAAGTTAGGGGTGACTGCAGTTAAAAGTTAGGGGTGACTGCAGTTAAAAGTTAGGGGTGACTGCAGTTAAAAGTTAGGGGTGACTGCAGTTAAAAGTTAGGGGTGACTGCAGTTAAAAGTTAGGGGTGACTGCAGTTAAAAGTTAGGGTTCACTGCAGTTAAGAGTTAGGGATGACTGCAGTTAAAAGTTAGGGGTGACTGCAGTTAAAAGTTAGGGGTGACTGCAGTTAAAAGTTAGGGGTAACTGCAGTTAAGAGTTAGGGGTGACTGCAGTTAAAAGTTAGGGGTGACTGCAGTTAAAAGTTAGGGGTGACTGCAGTTAAGAGTTAGGGGTGACTGCAGTTGAGAGTTAAGGGTAACTGCAGTTAAGAGTTAGGGGTGACTGCAGTTAAAAGTTAGGGGTGACTGCAGTTAAGAGTTAGGGGTGACTAAAGTTAAGAGTTAAGGGTAACTGCAGTTAAAAGTTAGGGGTGACTGCAGTTAAAAGTTAGGGGTGACTGCAGTTAAGAGTTAGGGGTGACTGCAGTTAAGAGTTAGGGGTGACTGCAGTTAAGAGTTAGGGGTGACTGCAGTTAAGAGTTAGGGGTGACTGCAGTTAAAAGTTAGGGGTGACTGCAGTTAAGTTAAATTAACTCTACCCCTTGTTATGGCCGTTGTAGTTCACGTTCTTGTCTGGAAGGGCCTAGCGCCAAAACATCCTTTTGTATTGCTTTGTGCACGTTATTATGCTTCCCAATTTCACTATGCTTTTCAGTCATTGTTCACTGGGTTAATTCCTATACATGTACTTATTCACACACGAATACACACATACATGCACATGCACTCACTCACTCACACACAAAACACTGCTACAAGGGTTCACCTACTTGGACTTGGTGGAGATGATATCTGGGAGGTAAGGCAGCTTCTTCAACTTGATAATACTGTCATAAAATGAAGGCTGCAACAAGTTGGCCACAGCATTGGCTATCAGTACAGAAATCTGCAGGATACATGGGATGTTAGCACTAGCAGTGACTGAAATGTTAGATATTCATATAATTAATCTTTGAGTCCCAATGATGGCAACATACATTTACAGGTTCCTACCTAGAGGCCCAATGAACGCAGGATGCGCCGATTTTAGGTCTCTCTTGACTACCCCTTGGCCCTCTGATGCTAAACCCCATTGGACTCAAAGAGTCAACTAAAAGTGCTTGAAATAAGTCTATTGATATAATTAACTTAATGTGCCTGAAATACTAAAGTGTATTGATATAATTAACTTAATGTGCTTGAAATACTAAAGTGTATTGATATAAGTAACTTAATGTGTGTGTATTGATATAATTAACTTAAAGTGCTTGAAATACTAAAGTGTTTTGATATAATTAACTTAATGTGCTTGAAATAATAAAGTGTATTGATATAATTAACTTAAAGTGCTTGAAATAAGTCTATTTCATGATGTATGAATTTTACGTCATGTATGAATGAAATGATGTAAGAATGGAGGAAGGCCTTGAAGGACAGAATGTAGACGAGTCTGCGTGCCCAATTCTTAATCCTTTAAAAATAAAGCTCCTTCGTTCATTATAATGATATAATTAAGTTAAAGTGCTTGAATTTCACTACTAAAGTGTATTGATATAATAAACTTAAAGTGCTTGAAATAAGTCTACTGATATAATTAACTTAAAGTGCTTGAAATACTAAAGTGTACTGATATGATTAACCAAAAGTGCATGAAATACATGCAGGAAATACTAGTCTATAGATATAATTAACTAAAAGTGCTTGAAATACTAAAGTCTATGCATAGAAGTCAGAATTCTTTCAATACTGAAATTTATTGCGATAGGTAAAAGTGCTTGAAATACTAAAATCTACTGAGACCATGAACTAAAAAAGTACTTGCACTACTAAAATCTTTTTATATAATAAATTTAAAAGTACTTAAAACACTAAAATCTATGCATATAACCAAAAAATGTGTGACATTCTGAAATCTATGGATATACCCATTTCAAAGTGCTTTAACTACTCAACTACTAAAATTTTAAGACAGTCAACTAAAACTGAAATACTAAAATCTACTGAAATGATGAACTAAAAGTACTTGCAATACGGGAGTCCCCGTGGTGGAGCGGCTAGAAGCTCGCTGAGGATCGGAAGGTCGTGGCTTCGCTCCCTGGAGGAACTGGACTTTTTTCAAAAATGACCTTGGCTCCCAGGTCGACCCAGCCCTGAGTGGGTACAGGGTGCAGTCCCAGGAAGTAGAGGCGGCCGGCATGATGCCTACCACATCACCCATCTGGTGCCAATTGGTCTATAAAAATAGAGGTCTAGCCCTATTTGCCCTATACGCCTAAAGGCGTGGAAAAGGGCCCTTTACTTATTTACTTGCAATACTAACATATACTTATATAATGAATGTAAAAGACTTAAAATACTAAAATCTGTGCATGTAAGTAAAAAAGTGTGACATACTGAAATCTATAGATATATTCAAGTAAAAGTGCTTTAAATACTATAATTTAAGACAAACAACTAAAACTAAAATAATCTACCCACTAAAACTGAAATAATAAAATCTATAGTGAAGCAGCTCTAATAATGACTCTCAGGATTCTTTCTCCTGCATCACATAAGTACTCTTATGTGTTTCTTTCTACAACACAGGTTGGCAGCAGTGCATCCACTACAGCTTGGTCTGCCTGGTGATGCCCTAGACTCTTTCACTTACTGTGTAATGCTCGTCAAGTATGTTATTATCCTGCCTGAATAATTTCTGCCCTATCTGTAGAAAACAAGAATGCAAAACCAGAAGTAATCTTTTACCACAGCAGGCAGTATGTGACTAATCTGTCCAGTGACTTCAAAGACAATGACTGCTGTAGAGATGGTGCGGGTGACACTTCCAGACAAACTTGCAGCACCTGGTTTGAATAAGTACACTAACTCAGCAAAACGGTGAAACAGATGGATGATTATATTTAAAATGACTCTTGTGTAAGATGACTATATCTTAGGTGACCTTGTGTAAGATGACTATATCTAAGGTGACCTTGTGTAAGATGACTATATCTTAGGTGACCTTGCGTAAGATGACTATATCTAAGGTGACCTTGTGTGAGATAATTATATCTAAGGTGACCTTGTGTAAGATGACTATATCTAAGGTGACCTTGTGTAAGATAATTATATCTAAGGTGACCTTGTGTAAGATGACTATATCTTAGGTGACCTTGCGTAAGATGACTATATCTAAGGTGACTAAATCTGAGGTGACCATGTGTAAGATGACTAAATCTGAAGTGACCTTGTGTAAGATGACTATATCTTAGGTGATCTTGTGTAAGATGATTATATCTAAGGTGACCTTGTGTAGGATGACTATATCTAAGGTGACTAAATCTGAGGTGACCTTGTGTAAGATGACTATATCTAAGGTGACCTTGTGTAGGATGACTATATCTAAGGTGACCTTGTGTAAGATGACTATATCTAAGGTGATTAAATCTGAGGTGACCTTGTGTAAGATGACTTTATCTTAGGTGACCTTGTGTAAGATGACTATATCTTAGGTGACCATGCGTAAGATGATTATATCTAAGGTGACCTTGTGTAAGATAACTATATCTTAGGTGACCTTGCGTAAGATGTCTATATCTTAGGCGACCTTTTGTAAGATGACTAAATCTTAGGTGACCTTGTGTGAGATGATTATATCTAAGGTGACCTTGTGTAAGATGATTATATCTAAGGTGACCTTGTGTAAGATGATTATATCTAAGGTGACCTTGTGTAAGATGACTAAATCTTAGGTGACCTTGTGTAAGATGACTAAATCTTAGGTGACCTTGTGTAAGATGACTAAATCTTAGGTGACCTTGTGTAAGATGATTATATCTAAGGTGACCTTGTGAAAGATGATTATATCTAAGGTGACCTTGTGTAAGATAATTATATCTTAGGTGACCTTGTGTAAGATGATTATATCGAAGGTGACCTTGTGTAAGATAATTATATCTAAGGTGACCTTGTGTAAGATGACTATATCTTAGGTGACCATGTGTAAGATGATTATATCTAAGGTGACCTTGTGTAAGATAATTATTTCTAAGGTGACCTTGTGTAAGATGACTATATCTTAGGTGACCATGTGTAAGATGATTATATTTAAGGTGACCTTGTGTAAGATGACTATATCTTAGGTGACCATGTGTAAGATGATTATATCTAAGGTGACTATGTGTAAGATGACTATATCTAAGGTGACCTTGTGTAAGATAATTTTATCTAAGGTGACCATGTGTAAGATAATTATATCTAAGGTGACCATGTGTAAGATGATTATATCTATGGTGACCATGTGTAAGATAATTATATCTAAGGTGACCATGTGTAAGATGCTTATATCTAAGGTGACCTTGTGGAAGATGATTATATTTAAGGTGACCATGCGTGAGATGATTATTCATACCTAGGGTGACCGTGTGTAAGATGACTATATCTAAGGTGACTATGTGTAAGATGATTATATCTGAGATGATTATGTGTAAGATGACTAAATCTAAGGTGACTATGTGTAAGAAGACTATATCTAAGGTGACTACCTGTAAGATGATATGTCTAAGATGACAATGTATATAAATAAGTATATGTAAAATGACTGTGTAAATTTAGTTTCTTTAAGATGGCTAATAAGACTATGTCTAAAATGACTGTGTACTCTGACTATTTTTAGAAGCAGAACACTGAAGAATCAACCCCAGCAATTTTTGGCTGTTGCGGTTTTTCTAGGCAAATTTATGTCCAGTAGTTTGCCACTGCTTTCAGGAAGGTAGGCTTCTTGATACTACTGTTGAAACCAACGCAAAGAACAGCCGGGACTGAACCTGGCACCCCAGCATTACGAAGCACGTTCGCAACACCTAAGCCACAGACGGCGACACAGACGATGACTATGTGTACAATGATTATCTTTAAGGTGACAGTAAGAAGACTATTTCTAAAATGACCATATGTAAGATAAATCGTCTTCACGAACACCAGGTGTAAATTAACTATTTATATAATGGCTAAATGTCAATGGCCATCTCTAGGATGTTGATATTTGTCCATTTACAAATCATGATATCCATTCATCAGCTATGCAGAGTGGGTCAATGAGTGCACAAGTAACTGATAAGACCAATCTTGGTGGGGAAAGTTTTAGCGCAGCACAGTCAAAGTTAGACCATTCTTTTCCTTCTTCTCGTCATGGGCTGTAAACTCTGAAGCAAAGTTCTTATTAAACATGCACCTCTGGACTTCTGTCTTATTCTAGAAATTGGGTTTTGTGTGCACATCCATTTTACAGATTTGCCTTATTTGTATGCCGACTGCTGGTTCCTCACTTCTCAGGCAGATACACTCAAATTTAGAAGGAAATACCCCTAATTAGTTGACTTTTATGACGTTTGTTGTGGGGGGGGGGGGGGGGGGGGGAGGGGTGGAGATGCCAGCGTGTCTATTCTTTTCTCCCCACAACAGGGCCCTGGGACCCACAAAGTAAGTTAGATAATTCAGAGACCAGAACAAGTTATTATTCTACTCCTTAGAACAGGACACAATCGACTTCACAGTCACATGCACACAAAATTTGCAAAGGGTGAATCAGCCATGACTGGCTGTCACCCAAAAATAACAATAAATGATGAAGAAATTGAAAATGTCACAAACTTTGAATATCTAGGCTCTATAATAAACAACAATGGAGACAGAAAATTAAGACAGAAATTAAAAGGAGGATGGCCATAGCAATGCAAAGATTAAACAGCCTTAAAAGTCTACGGTTAAGCACCAGCGAGGAGATAACAATTATAATTTTGAGAGCATGTATCTTCCCTGTGGCTACATACAGATGTGAGTCATGGACTATCTCTCAGTCATTAAGAAAGAGAATGGGGGCTTCTGAGTTGAAATGCTATAGAAAGATTCTAAGAATATCTTGCACAAAGAAGATGAGAAATATTGACATCTTAAAAGATCTGAACATCAAGGAAGATTGGCTAATAAACAGCATCCTTTCTCGAAAGGTGAGATATTTTGGTCATATCAAGCGCCACGACGGTTTGGAAAAAATTAAAGCAGAAAGCATGGTACCAGGAAGGAGGGGCAGGGGCCGAACGACGCGAAGATGGGCACATGATATAAGTGACTCCTTGAGTGTGAAAGTGCATGAGGCGGGAGAACTAGCGAGAGACCGAGTTTCTTTCAGGCAGGCTGTGATGAAAGCGATGTTCTGCAAAGGACCTGCTACATGATGATGATGATGAATCAGCCCTGTGCACATGTGGTTTGGCACCTGAGACTACAGACCACGTATTCCAAGACTGTGCAAACACAACATGTCAAGACAAAACTCATGTGCTTTCAATCAATTCGGACACAGATGATCCACCGTGCAATGATGTCAAACTGTCCAACATCTTCTCTCTTGGTCCCCCTATGTCTTTTCTCCCTTCCAACTTTCCCTCAGTCGTAATGGAGTACTCCAGTTTTCTCCTTCTCAGGACATGACCCAAGAATGTCTCCTTGTGATGTGAGCATTACTAATAAACTGATATTCTTCTTCTACTTCAGCATTCCGAGTCCTTGAGGTTCACTACTGCAGATATCTCATGCCTCTATTCATCTCTCTGGTTGGCCTTCTCTTTCCAGATGGTGATACCAACTGTTTGTAGATTTACCTGGATAGTATCTCTCGATAATCTTCTTGGTCTGCCTCATGGTTTACAACGATTCAGCTCTCTTGTGTATACAATTTTTACCTCTCTATCATCTGATATTCTCTCATTTTGCGACAGCCATTTCAATCTAACAGCCCTCATGATGCCAGTGATCAATGGTGATGTAAACATATATATATATATTTATTTATTTATTTATATATATATATAAGATGACAATGTCTAAATATATTATGTCCTGTTTACTTCTGAGGTCATCATCAACATAGTCCCATAATACCACATATTGATGGGTAACCAGTTGCTGTTGATTGCCTGATCAGCTCTCTCCACTTCTGTGGGTTGGATGCAATGGACTTGAATGTAGGCATATTTGAGGTCTGTTCATTCAAATTCTATACCCAGGTCTTTCTTGGTCTGCCTGTTTTACTCTTCTCCTAAACATTGTGTTAGGTGTACCTCTAATATATATACATGTTAAGATGATATCCATGTTTAAAACTAAAATTCCAAAGATGCCTAATTTACCAGTCCATGCCAAACTCGAAAAAGTCCAGAACTAAGATAACTGTATCTCAGTCTAAGATGCTGCCCCAAGGAAAATTAACAACTTACCTACAACAGCGTAACCACCTGGTATAATCTTCTTCATTGAGTCACCAGACATAATTCCTTCGGGGAACCAGGCAGCCATGCTCTCACCAACCAGACGGCCAAAAGCAGCACCTGCAGAAGTAGAAAACACTAAAGTAAAGGACCCTTTTCCCACACCTTGAGGTGTATTGGGCATATAGTACTAGATCTATATTTTACAGACCAAATGCCACTGAGTGGGTGATGTGGTCAAAATGACACCAGCTGCCTTTACCTTCCAGGACTGCATGTGGTACCAACTCAAGGCTAGGGTCGACCTGGGAGCCGTAGAAGTATATACTACAGGTAAATGTACCCTCAGAAGATCACAACTGTACTTGAAGCAACTGCTGTACTTTTAGAATCTACTAAAGTTAAGCATATCTTTGGAAGATCAAATTACAATTATTTGTCTATTAATGGTCCCTTAAACATATTTTTAAGAGATCATTCCACATACAATGTTATTTTTCCAAAAATAATGTTATCGCCTTAAGTGCCAAGGAATGCAGCATGTTTTCATAGGTTTCAACCTAGAAGCCCAATGAACCCATGATGCGCTGTGTAGTTATTTGTAATGTGGTCTTATAAAGGTATGTTTAGTTCCAAGCCAAAGAGTTAACAATTCCTGGTTTCTGGATATTTAAAAAAAACACAAAAAAAATTGTACTATGGCTTAGGTATTTCTGAGGTGCTGGTTTCAGCTGTGGGTAATTTGGCAGCAGACCACATGATGTTGGTTTGATAGCAATATCAAGAGTGGACCCTTGAGAAAGAAATAGCAAATAACTGAATGTAAAACTGCCTAGTGAACTCAGTCAAAAAATGCTGAGGTTGGTTTTGCAACATTCTGTAAATGATACACAACTAACCTTTTAATGAAAAAAATTTGTTTTTCAACATATCATGTTGCTTACCCATGGTAAAAACAGGTACAAACACTCCAGCAGGGATGGGTAAAGTATTGGAAAACACAGCTGTGATAAACTGAAAAAAAAAAATGATCACAGATACTTGAGCAATGTTGAGGGTAAACAGCATGAAGAACCTATGACATAGCACCTGAATTAAAGTAAACATTTTCTAATTATATATCTCTTCAATGTTGGCATCTGTTGCTTAGGTGATGCGAACACTCTTTCTAATGCCGGGGTGCCGAGTTCGATCCCAGCTGTGGACGATTTGTCTTGCCTTGGTTTCGACAGTTGTACGTAGGGCTGAGCATTCAGAAAGCAATGGCAAACTAGTGAAAGTACAATTTGCCTAGAAAAAACAAACACAACAGCTAAAAAAAAAAAATGCTGGGGTTGCTACTGCAACGTCCTGTAAAAATACACAACTAACATCTTTCCAGTGTTGAATGCTGAAATAAGAATCAACATCATAGCACTCGGGACACTCCCACAAGCGCTCCATTCCCATCTTCAGCATCAAGCAAAGAATTCCAGTTCTGATTGCACCAGTAACTGTCTGATTGTACATCCGTCTCACCTTTCCCATGAGTGTTGGCCAGATCCCCTGAAAGCTCACCTTGGAGCTTTTGAACATGGGTTGATTGATGCCTCTACTAGGATACACCGATGTGTGCTAGTTGGACATGAATGATACATAGATTTATTCATGGAAACAGGATGCACTTTACTTGCATAGACAGAGAAATCAGGACGGGAACAGAGATAGAGATACATGTAACGGCAACAGTGGTCCTGAAATCTCATGCACTTATTGTGAATGTTTCCTCTGAACCTCAGCTGGTCCTGCTAGTCACACGTACCATCACCCCAGGCTGCAGGTCCTATGCTTCCTGACAGCACAATGTAACACTATCAGAACACTATTATCTAGAAAGATGGAAAGGTGCCAATAACTGGCATGGACTGTAAGAAGGTGATCCAGCTTTAAGATCAGAGAGATGTTGCTTTTATCATGTGATGTTGAAATCACCACAATGTTTTAAGATGCCACTCTCATCACAATGTAAAGTACTCAAGATTAGCCTGTCATCGTAATAAATAGTCATGAGTGTCATCATAGAAAAAAGTACTAGAGTTGAGACTGTCATCATAATAGAAAGTACTAGAGATGAACTTGTCATTATAATAAAAAGTACTGCCCGGCTCGCTAGCGTAGTTTACAAAACCTGACTTCTCGGCGACCGTGTGACGAACTCTTTGTGGTCCTGGTTCATGCCTGGGGGTAGGCAGAAAAGCCAAATTTCTCCTAGATTTACCGTATCTATCATGGAATCAAAGCCGAAGGGTTGCGATATCCATAATACCAAGCCTAAGGGTTCACAACTCATGGCTTCTGGATACTTTAAAAAAAAAAAAAAATATATATATATATATATATATATATATATATATTTTTATATATATATATATATATATATATATATATATATATATATATATATATATATATATATATATATATATATATAAAGTATTAGAGATGAGACTCATCATGATAAAAAGTACAAGAGATGATATAGTCATCATAATAAAAAGTACATGAGATGAGACTGTCATCATAATAAAAAGTACTAGAGATGAGACCATCATCATTTTAGAAAGTACAAGAGATAAGACTGTCATCATAATAAAAAGTACAAGAGATAAGACTGTCATTATAATATAAAAGTACCAGAGTTGAGACTCTAATCACAATGTAAAATACTAGAGTTGAGACTCTCATCATAATATAAACTACTAAAGACAAGATATTTTCAACAAAATATACACTATTAGAGATAAGATTCATCACAATATAAAGGACTTGAGACTAGACTCTAATCCCAATAACAGAGATGAGACTCTCATCACAATACAGAGAAGAGATTTTTATCACAATTCAAGTACTAAAAATAAGATTCATTACAGCAGAAAGTACAAGAGATGAGATTCATCACAAGAGAAAGTACTAGAGACAAGATTCAGCACATTAGAAAGTAGGAGAGGTAAGACTCTAATCAAAATGTAAAGTAGTAGAGATGAGACACATCACAATATAATGTATTAGAGATGAGACTCTAAAAACAATGTAAATTAACAGAGATGAGACTCATCACAATATAATGTATTAGATAGGACTCTCTAATCATAATGTAAAAGTATAATGTATTAGAGATGAGACTCTAAAAACAATGTAAATTAACAGAGATGAGACATCACAATATAATGTATTAGATAGGACTCTCTAATCATAATGTAAAAGTCAGATGAGACTCTCATGACAATACAGAGAACTGATTTTCACCAAAATTCAGAGCACTAGAGATGAGAGAGACATCCCACTGGAAAGTACGAGAGATGAGACGATAATCAAAATGTAAAATATCAGAGAAGAGACTCATCACAATATAAAGTACTAGAGACAGAACAATTACCACTAAGAATTGGTACTCACAAGTCATAAAATATAAAATACCAAAGATTGTACCTTAATCACAATAAAAAGTACCAGAGACAGTAACATCACCATTACGAGTTGGTACTCACAGTCATCACAATGTAAAGAACCAGAGTCACATAGATATTGGTGAGTGGATGATTCCAATGACTCAGTTTAACTTCATCATCCAAGTTTTCTGGCTGTCCATCAGCCCAGGTAAAGTTACTGAACAGATCATTGATGGCCTTCTTCCCAGTCAACTAGAAGACATGTGGGAGAAAAAACAAATAAATATTTCAATGTAAACAGTAGACTGATAATATCATCATCATCCTGTTCCCTGCCAACTGGCATAGGCGCTCATGCGTCTCCACAGATCACTATCCCTGGTTGCCCAGAACAGCTCTCTTGATGATTTCCCTCTATGCCATGGTTTTAGCCCATCCAGCATCATCTTTTGGTCTGCCTCTACCTCTTTTCCCACTGATCTTTCCAGTTGTCACGATGTTCTCCAATGTCTCTCTTCTCATTATGTGCCCAAAGAACAGTGTTTGTCTCTTTCTTATTGTTGTATATAAAGATCTACTTTCATTGCCTTCTTTCAAGCAACCGTTGTTAGTTAATCTGACCGTCCAAGGTATTCGTAACATTCCTCTCAGAATCCACATTACTGTTGCTTCCAAATTCTTCATAATTTATTCACCGACATTCCAAGATTCGCTGCCATACAGCAGAACAGGTTCTATGTAACATTTTAGTACCCTCTTTACTGATAATATAAGGGACAAAATAATAAAAAGTTACTTTAATGCAAATGTCAGGTTGATAATACAAAGGAGAAAATATAATCTTATTTTGACTGTTTCATTCCTACAGCAAAGCTCCACATGTTGTGATTGCAATAGATTCTCAGAGCCAGCTGTGTAAAACTGAAACTGGTGTCCTGCAGGCAAAGTGGCTTGTATCATTTGATAAGAACCAGATCAAGAGCATATTATGGATTTTTTGGTCCAGAATATTCAGGTGTGCGAGATAACATGCAGGCTGATGGATTAGCTGCTGCCTCTCCTCTTGGCGGTGAACTAATATTTGATAAAGCGGATCTGGTGAAGGCTCTGTCGGATCAAATGGACACTTTAAAAGAACAGATAGGGAATCCATACACTGAAAGACTAATTCAACAGGGGGGTGTGTAGAGATTATGGAAGATATTTAACGCTGAAGGGGAAACAAAGGCGGACTTTAATCAGTTTGCAGTTGGTACCATTAGCATGTCAACCCTTCAGTGGTTACTAAATAGGGGAAATGGTATGCATTTTTAAAAAAATTGTGGTCACTCATTCCCTTGGGTATTTACGGCTAGAACCCCTGGGATTATTCTTCTTCTTCTGATATCATCCGAAGATGTAACTGTGCCCGTTTACAGCGTGGCTGTGAGTTTACAGCGTGGCTGTGAGTTTACAGTGTGGCTGTGAGTTTACAGCGTGGCTGTGAGTTTACAGCGTGGCTGTGAGTTTACAGCATGGCTATGATGCTTGCGCCTTTTAACCGATACATCTGACTTCTGCAGGCATTTATTGACTGGTTTAGCTTTCCCGGTGAACCCCCGGGATTGAAAGGGGTGAACTCATATACCAAGTTTCAACACCTCTACATTAAGAGACTCTAAAATACTTAACATTTTGGTATAGAAAACTCTTGTAACATCAAATATTGAGACTCAAGGGTCATTGGTACAATCAAGAACAAAAATAAATGGAAGGAAAAAAACCAGCCTACATTAAATCAATGAGCCTTCTTGACAATGGAGTGATGAAAATAGGGGTGACTGCAGTTTCAATGAGGTGACTTCTTGACAATGGAGTGATGAAAATAGGGGTGACTGCAGTTTCAATGAGGTGACTTCTTGACAATGAAGTCATGAAAACAGGGGCGACTGCAGTTTCAGTGAGGTGACTTCTTGACAATGAAGTGATAAACATAGGGACGACTGCAGTTTCAATGAGGTGACTTCTTGACAATGAAGTGATAAACATAGGGACGACTGCAGTTTCAGTGAGGTGACTTCTTGACAATGAAGTGATGAAAACAGGGGCGACTGCAGTTTCAATGAGGTGACTTCTTGACAATGAAGTGATGAAACTAGGGTGGCTGCAATTAAGCTACTATAAATGAAGCACTTCACTAACACAAACAATGACTGGGAAGCTTTATGATAGAAAAAAAAAAAAAAAACAGGAATTATTTGGCTAGTTTCCAGTATTTCTCATCTTCTTGTTATGCTTCTAAATACAAGGATGGCCTGGCCAGATGGATGAGATAAGACAAAAACAGTGAACTGATCCGTGTTCTAGAGTTTGTGTTGGCTGGCAAACCATGACAGCCTACATTTACCGGCACTGCATATAATGATGATAATGTTGTGCCTCCCATGGATAAATTCTTTCTTTTTGTCAAAATCTGCTTGTGCCGCTAGGCGTCGCAGTCTATCAGATGATCGGCAACCGAGCCAGGGCGCGCTCAGTCGCTTCATATGCCGTGATGTTATGAAGTCTCAAGCTGTCCGAGACTCCTTCAATCCATCTTCTTCTTGGTCTTCCCCTGCCTCTTGGTGTTTCGATTTTCATGTTGTATGCTCTTGATGCTGGCATCGTTGGTTCCATTCTCATTAGGTGACCAAACCATTTCATTCTTTGCTTCTCAATAAATTTAACGATGGGTATGGTTCCAATAGTTCTTGTAATCACATCGTTTCTCACTCGATCTCTTCTGGTTTTATTCGCAGCCATTCTCAAACATGTCATTTCACAGGTGGTTAGTCTTCTCTCGTGTTCTTTTGTTAATGTCCAAGTCTGACATTGATAACCTAATGTCGGTATAAAGATTGTATTTATAATTTGTCTTTTTATCTCAGCTGGGACAGCAGGGTGTTTTAAAATTGGGGCAAGCTGGTATGCGACATTGTTGGCTTGTTGGATTCTTGCTTCGATCTCTCTGTCTATTTTACCATTGGATGTAAAGATACTTCAGCCAAATGGTCAGATTGCTCCTGTGTGTGTTGTTTATCACCCCCCCTTCCCCACCATTCCCCATGTACTGTTTATGTTCTGTGAATTCATTCACAATGACTGCTGGCTACAAGGGATGAACATGTTCTGTCTCTCATCCTGGATATACACTCTCTACGCCTGTTGCTATTCATCCCTCTAGTGATGTTGTGTCTTCTTGTATGGCCACAATTTTTCACTTGCCTCATTTTTCAATTTCTTTCAGCACCTCAGACAGCAAACTAAAGGCAGAAATCCTAAACTGATTCCACAACCTTCGGAGAATGCAGTCATCATCATCATCAATTTCCACTTCTGCTGTTAAGCGTTGTTGGGAGGAACAGTTCTTTAATGTTATCAACTGATTTTCTCCTGGGGTGGGGGAAGGGGGAGGGTATCAATTGATTTTCTCCTAGGTGGGCCTCTTGTTTCACTTAAGATCTTTTCTTCACTTCAGATCTTTTCATGTAAGTACCTGAGTTTGTAGTTTTTCTGGTAGTAAGCAGCTCATACAGTTCAATATGGTAACCATGGCATGCTTGTGCAGTCACATTAGTCTTTCTGCATGTTTTTACAGAAACTGAAATATGCTTTATTGTAAGGGAATTGATCAAAGGACTATGTACTCACCTCTCCACCGAAAAACTGCCCCAGACCAGGTGGGAATGTTAAAGATGCAATGACGAATGTGATAACACTTGGATAAATGAATCGACTGAAAATATAAAGTATATACAACAGAGAATGTACACATTATAATGATAATGTACTGACAATAAATGTACTGATAATGAACTGACAATAAATATACTAATAATGAACCAACAATACGTTTACTGGTAATGTACTCAAAATGTATACCCATTATAAACTCAAAATAACTGTACGGGTAATGTACTTACAATAGGTGAATCATGATAAACTCCCAATTAGTGTAATGAATACAAAATTTTCAAGGTATGATAATCACCAAACTGTGTCTTAACACATATGGCTTCACCTCTCTTCACACAATGATAGCTGCGTGTCAAAAATGTCAAAGTACAAACTTTAAAACTCTAGCAACAATCTCTAGGATCTCCCAAAAAAAAACACACACACACGCATTCATAGGCAAAAAACAACCAAATCTGCAAACAAACTTAAGTAAAAGTACATGTCTTTAGGCTTACTGGGGATATAGGGCTATACTTTTATTTTATACACTAATCGGCACCAGGTGGGTTATGTAGTCAGCATCACGCCGACCACCTTTACTTCCCAGGACTGCACCTGATACCCACTCTAAACTGGGTCGACCTGGCAGCCTAGCTCATTTTTGACAAAAGTCCAGCTCCATCAGAATCCGAACTGACAACCTTCTGATTTGCAGGCCACTACACCACAGCGACTCCCAAACAAACTTATGATCAAGAAGCAAAAGACTTGATCAGATTCATTCCAACTTTGAAGGAGACTTTGATCCCATCTATGCTGGCCAAATCCCTGGTATGGAACCTGTTTCTGGGATGACAATGAAGAAGCAAAGGCAGGTCCCGACCAGTATGTGCACACGACCTGGTGCACCACTAATTGTGTAGTTAGCATCTATCGGATATTTTCTACAGGTTAGGCCAGTGGGTGGGGAAATGAGCAGGCAGATAGAATGGTTGGTTCTGCACCACTGGGGGTAAACTGATGCATGACAATCTAGACATTGTAAGGGCAAGTAAGTAAACAGTGCAGAGGCACAAACAGATCATAATAGTAAAAAAAAAAGAAAAAAAGAAATTTGCAGCGAGAAGTGACCAAGGGAACTAACTACATAACACTCAGAGGAGGAGCCAGACATACAATCAGACTGTTACTAGCATAGGAACTGGAACTTAGCGCCTGCTGCTAGAGATGGAGACGGAGTGCTTATGGTAAAGTCATTAGTGCTATAATGTCAGTTCTTAACTCTAACTCAAAACACCACCAAATGCATCCAGAATGTTATTCAATTCCTACAGGTTACGTAATAGTACAAATCTGTGGGTAGTATAGACCTGAGTTAGGTATAGTCTATATATATATATATTTCTATATGTTATGTAATAGTACTAATCCGCTGATAGTATGAGCACTGGTCATGGTGTGTCACCACATGTAGTTCAGCTCCTCCGCATCCCAAATATTATGTGATTCCCACATGTTATGCTGCAGTACAAATCTGCTGACAGTTTTGTGTGGTAGCAGCAACACGTTAATGGATACAAGGAAACAGAACAAAGTCACACTTACTTTTTCTGCAGAAACCGTGAGAGCTTTTTGCGTCTCCTGGTAAACAAAATGACATTTCTGTGGGCTAAGATGAACAGTGGGCCACCAAATCCACAGGCAACTCTGAAACAGGAACATAATTTTATATATATATATGCACACACACACACATGTACACACATGACAGGAAGACAATAAGTAAATAAAAAATGGTTATGGGATGGAAGAAAAATGTAGTTGGTGGTTTCTAAAGTTTTCATTAGGTGACAGCAACATCAAACTTTATGTCTTCGTCCTTAGGTGGCGCTAAATGTTGCATTCGCAACACAGAAACTAAATAGCAACTGTACTTACAGAGTGTAACCTCGAAGAGCAACGAGCTGTTGTGCAATTTTTGGGGGAGGTTGGGGGCAGGGGAGGGCAAAACCGCTGCCTGCAAAGGATATTAATGAGGAAATGCTTTCTGTTTATGTTGACAAACGTTTATCTATGCAGTGCATAGCAAGGTAAAAAATAAATTCCTCAAGGACGCTCTAAAAGTGTTTATGAAGTCTGATCTGGTAATGGTCTGTTGAGACTGCAACAGAAGCATCCTTGCAGCAGGTGGAGGAGATGATTAGAGATGACAGGCTAGTAACAGCTTTCTCTGTAGCAGCTGCAACACATGGTTCAGCATACCAAATAATGCATGATCGACTGAAATTTAAGAAAGTGTGCTCAAGGTGGGTACCCAGAAAATTGACGGATTTAGCAAATCTCATGTTTCTATTACACTCAGAGTTTCTGTCATTCCTGTTTTACTTTCCTATTCTATCAACAATATCTATTGCAATTTTAATTTTTATCTAGAGTATCTGCCATAAGACTTCTACTTTTCTATTCTACCTAATATGTCTGTTCAATCTAGGTGTCGGTATAATAGGCTTGCGTGTAAGGCTACGGTGAAGGGCAGACAAGCCGGGGACCAGGCAGATATACTGAATGCTTAACGAGAAGGAAGACTTTTGTTAGAATCAAGTGACTGTGAGTCTGCAACCATGACCAGACTGTAAGAACAGCAAGTTTAAAGGGGTGTGACCAGACAAGAGCACTACACAGGAAACCAAAGGAGAATAAGAAACTGCTGCACGCTGCAGGAGTGTAGAGGGGATCCGTGTATTTGTGGACTGATTGGTTTGATGTGCAATGAGGATAATCTGTGCACTAATTGACTGACTGACTAACTAACTAGGTATCAGTTACTGAAAACTAAATATATTAATTAAAAGTAAAATTAAAGGACTCTTTTCACACTAATGATGCATCTGGCAGGTGGTGCTCAACCCATTTTCATACACCAGTCAGCACTCAATGGATGATTCAGTTGAAACCTTTACTTTCCAGGACCTTTACTAGTAACCATCTTAATTTTCCATCTGGGTAAACTCAAACGCCACAGAAAATCATATAAAACTATCTTCATGCAGATATTTTTTTTTTAAACGTTCACAGGTTGTAAACTCTAGCAGAAAGTTCTGGTTGTTTGTCCACTTGGACCCCAGAACTTGAGTTTTGTGTGCACATCCATTTTACAGAGCTGGCTTTTCGTATGCAAACGTTGGTTCCTCGCCTCTCAGGCAGAAATGCACTCTGATTTTGAAGGAAACACCCATTATGAGTCGACTTTCATGACATGTTTGTTAAGAAAGCAGTGGGTCTATTCTTTTTCTCCTCCACAATGGGATACTGGAAACCACACTGGGACTCTTCTATTGTAGCTAAGTATTAGTCAGTCAAAACCCATGTATGTACACCAATTAGCACTCAATGGGGCATGTATACTTCTATTTCCCAGGACATTTCTATATCCTCTTCATGTCACAGTTAACACTTAAGGCATTCACAAGTGATCTCCATTGCTGCCGGTCTGCTGCTTCTCTGCCCATGGTATCCCATGCCAGTTTACATTCCTTCATTTCCCGTTCTATTGTCCTTCTCCAGGTCCAAGACATTTACTGGTAGCCATTTCAGAACTTCTGTATCTGCAGCACCCGCTAGCTAGTCCCTGCACTCACAGCTCAGTGTGATTAGAATCATACACAAGTCTGATAGCTTCCTGGACACTTTAACCCACTCTTCTCCTCACTCAATATTCTTAAGCCTGCACACGTCCAAATGGGTCTTCAGCTTGCCCCATCCAAGGCCCTCCTCTTTTAAGACAATGACCCTTAGCTCTATCCAGGGCTTTTTACAGGAGGTGCTTCTTGTCTTGTGGCTACTCTGAGATATGACTTTGGTTATGGTACTCTGAGCCTACCTGTAACAGCAGTGCCAGTATATACTGCATACATACTACTGAAGTATCTCTCATATATCAAGGTATCCACCTTGATACAGATTTAAACCCACAACATTTGGGCTGCCCGGCAAGTGCCTGGTCGTTGCACTAACACAGCTCTTGTTAATATGATAGACATCTTTGTTTGAAACACAAAAGTATTTCTGCTTAAATGTAAATCTCTATTTAAGAAAGTTAAAAAAAAAATACAAGGTAAGAATAAAAAAAAAATAGTACCAACCCTATGAAAGCAAAGGCAAATAACTCCAGCGCGTCAAACGGAATATCTGTTCTAAGATTTGTGCGAAACATGACAGTCAGAGTCTCTGAAAATAAACGGAGAAAACTAAATTACTTTTCTACAATTATTAAAATAAGAATATGATATTTAGCAACACTTTACAGATAGGGTACCAGTTAAGAAAAAAGAAATAAAGAAGAAAGTGACATGGAAAAAGTGATATGGAAAACAAAGAAGTGATATGGAAACAAAAATATCAGAGAAAAACTGAGAAACAAATTGGAAAACAACGAAGCAAAAGAATAAATCTAACCTTCAGATTTATACCAAAACGCCAATAATCTGAAGACCAGTGCTCCACAGACAGCAGAGAAGAACCCTCGCCAGTAGTTCCTGACAGCAAAATAAGTTGCTGTGACCTCAATGCTGAAAAGAACACCTGAAAGTAAGTAGAGAATTTTTTGTAAACGATAAAAAAGTCAGACAGAAACTAAGGCTAATCTAATAAAAAGCTTACATAAAATTGGTAATCAACTTCCTAAAAGTATTTTATAGGTGGTAATTTTACTTAATCATTTCCTGCACATCATAATCGCAACCATCATCATTACCATAGTGCGGTTGGTACCTGACTAATTGATCAACATTATCAATATTTGAAACATCAAACACAGTGACTAGTGCCACAATTATTACCCTTATTACCAAATACACAACCACTATTAGCATGATAATTATTGTTAAAGCCATCGTCAGAGCCATCATTATAATCACAAACATCATCCTTATGTACAGTTTAATCTCTTTGAAAGCCATGTATCTGCAGTTTTTCAGAGTGGTTATTGCTCTGATTGTTTCCTCTTTGGTTAATCTGCTGGTTAAGGGTTACTGGAATAATAAGGATTAAGGGAGTAATAATGGGGTAGGGTAAGCTCTACAGGCAGGAGGTGTAAGGCTCCTGCCTCCTTTTGTCCGCTAGCCTACAAACTAGATGTTCTGAGGGCCCTTTGGAAGGGAGCAAACAGTGCGGAGGCACAAAGTGATCATTAAGGTCTGAGGAAAAAGATGCTGTGGGGAGTTAACAGATGATCTGACAGGTGCTCAACACTCAAGGAAAAGGCGAGATGAATGTACTATGGGTACTATGGATATGGCAACCATTCAGCCTTGATACCATGATAGACACTGTAAATCTGGGAGAAATGAGGCTTTTCTGCCTACCCCTGGGGGGTGAATCCGGCCGACAAGGAGTTCGTCACCCGGTCGCCGCACAGTCAGGTTTAACCAACTGAGCTAGTGAGCTGGGCTAGTGTAACAACAATCTACAATGGAAGCAAGTGAAAACAGTATACTCAAGGTGTCCCATAAGTTTACATGAAGCTAGTTGCGTATTCTTTACAGGACATTGCAGAACCAATCCCACCGGATTTTTTAGCTATTGTGGTTTTTCAAGGCCAATTTTACGTTCTGTAGTTTGCCATTACTTACTGAACGATCAGCTCTCGGTACCACTGTTAAAAACCAACGCAAGACAAATCGTCTGCAGCTAGGATCAAACCCGCACCCTGGCACTAGGAAGCGCGTTATAAATATCTAAGCCACAGATGCCAATTATGTCATACATAGAAAAAATAAACAATTTAGTGTATATATATAAAATATGCTTTACAGGACTGTCACTGCTGTGAAAACACATTTTGCTGCATGTCCTCCACTAATGAAAAACATGCATAAGATAAGCCAAAGAGCTGGCACACTTACGACAATCTTAGCCACACAAGTGCCCCAAATAAACCAGACCACAAATATAACAGGAGACTATTGGTGCCTCGCTGCCAACAAGAGGTTAAATGTGGTCAAGTTTAAAAAAAATTTTTTTTCAAAAGAATGGAATGGAACAGAAAACATGCATATGCACAGCTGGAGTTATGCTTGTAATGGCATTGGTGAAATGTTTATTTGGAATGTAAACTTAAGAGACGTTGTCTTTGAAGTGACTCAGAAACAGATGAAACCTCATTTGGGCCCCAGAGGGGTTAATGAAATGAACAACAACTTACCTCCAATTGGGGCAGCGAATGTGCAAGCCACGCCAACAGCACAAGCTGCAGCCAACATTTCTGTACGGCGAGACTCATTCTGAAACATAACGTATAGGTTGAAACTTGTATCTTTAACTTTTATTTGATCTTTCTAAGCCTTGGATTGGAGTCAACTGGCTAGAAGTTACCTCAAACTTGTTATGTGATTGGACACATTATCTTCCTTTTTTTTTTTTTTTCAATGAAGACTTTGTCAAAGAGTTTACTTGCACACAGTTCATCTGTGAGTATGACTTTCCTTTCATGGAGCTTTCTATTCACACTCCGTGTCATTCAAGTTTTGGTCATATCTAAGCTCACTGTTAAGAACTGTTTTTTATTGTGCAAAGGTAATCTGCAATCATTGCAGTTGGATGAAACTCTACTGGCTTGCTTGCGAGCAATGCTTTAATTAATTCTGCCACATATGCTAATATAACACATTTGCTTATAAACTTTGCATATTTTTTCAATACGTTCACTGTGGTCTGTTTCATTTGGTCATGTCTTGTATGTCAATTCTTGGAACATATGTTATCCTCTTCTTCAGATGCAAATACATTGAAACAAATAAATAATAATAAAACAGGGTTGTCAGAAATATTGCTAAATGTTTAAATGCAGTTTAATCAAATAACAGTACTATGGCTATGAAAATATGACCACTGTAAAGGCAATTTTTTAAAATACCAATGCACAACAATATAATAACCAGAGCCATATATACACCATCCACCTTATCCCTTTATAATGTAGGGTAACATACTGCATTTATGCTTTAATTGTAGCTATATTTCTGACTCACCCTGTCCTTCACCGCATATCCTTTATCCAAATGAAATCATACCATAGGCTAAGGCACAAACTTGAGCTGCCACAAGGAGAAATGTTAGAACGTTTATGAACAACCTGAAGTTATACCTACCTCATAAATGCCCCTGAAAGATCCTATTGCTTTGCTTAGAACGGTGGCCATAATACTGGCTATGTGAACAAATGGTCCCTGTGGAGCAAAGGTGACAATAAATACAAGAAATAGATATATGATATCATCTCCGACCAGGAATTAGACGCTCCCATGTGTAAGAAAACACCTTTTCTTGCAAGCCCAAAATTAGAAAATAAATATTTTAAACACACTCTGTAAATAAGATGATCTCCAATTTGAAAAAGTTTGCAAAAATATACCGTCTTAAAAATGGCAAACATATTGTGGTTCCCATGTGAGTTTTGTAGCCTCATTTTAGGAAGGTAAGCCTCCGTAGTAAAAGGTTACGGGGTCACAGCACAAGTCACGTGATACGTCTGTTTGTGTGTGTGTGTGTGTTTTTTTTTGTTATTGCCCTGGGAGATGTATTCAATTTAATGATTTACCATGTACATGATTATCCATTACTCCTTTCATATATCATTACATATTTTAAAAAATTATTTTAAATATGACATCAAATTGTGGCTCTTCTTCTCTGTGTCCCGTTTTTCCCCTCTAACTATTACACCATCATAATGTATTACATTTTTCACTTTTTCTTGATATGACCAAAGAATTTAGACTGTCTCCTTCTGATGTGAGCAATGGGTTCTCTTTGTGAGTCAGTTTCTTTCAAAACATCTTCATTACTCTTTTTATCTGTCCAGGGTATTCTCATCATTCATTTTCTTTTCAGTTTCTTCTTTGTGTCTGGTCTGGAGCAACAATGGTGATCATAAATCTTCATCTGGTCATCTAAAAACTGTTGTTTGTGTTGCTGATAAACATGGGCGGAAATCACTTTCCAATTTCTCTGTGATGGTCAGAAGAACAATCACCAGACCCTGTACTCTCTTTGACACCTAAAGTAGCAAGGAGTAAGTGACCTAACGATACCAATTAGTTTTTTTTAAAAATATTGTTGAGTTACGACCTTTGCTGCTCACAACTTTTTCTGGATTGAATTTATTCCAGTAGTCACATGTGTGTCAACAATTCAAGTGGCCAGAAAGACAAGTGACTTCTCTCAGAAATATGTCAGTTATGTGTTTTTGTGAATTCCTGTTCGTATTTGAGGTTTGAACAACAGATCAACATCATGGCACAGGGGTAGTAAGTGCTCCGTTTTTTTCTAACTCAAGTTTGAGTCCGAAGAAGCTCAGCACAGTGCACAGGCTCTGTAGCACCGGCGAGGATCCTGAAATACTTTGAGTAGATTTTTTAACTCCAAATTGTGACCGGGCAGTGCTGTTAGGCTACTCTTTTTGATTTCAAACTGCCAAGGGATTTTTTAGGTGCACAAAAATGCAAACGGGCGTCCAATCTCATTACCGTGAGTTACTAAATGTCTAAGTCCACATGAAAAAATTCCAGCCCTTACTGGGAATTGAATCCAGAACATCTAGCCCCCTATTTGTGGTATGCTATAATAATGTAATATATTCAAGAAGGCTCTCAAGCCACAACATTCACTTGTTTTTTGTGATATTCTGAAGCTAACTTAATCCCACAGTGCGTCCCAATATCAGACATAATTTTTTGTCATTTTAAAGCCCCACCCTGGCTGTTACCGGGAGCCCTAATTTAACCCAACCTATGGAGTAAATTGGGTTTCTGGTCCTGTCCCTGGGTGGTCCTCATCTGGATGGTGGCACATTGTGTTTATCACTCAGTGTGGTGTCCTGGGGGAGGGGGGGGGGGGGTTGGTTGAACAACAGCCAATCATAATGCGAAGCTGACTGATTTTACTTTTAGTTTGATCTGACATATTTTCAGGAGTAAGTGGAGAATGCTGAATGTTTCGCTCATGGAGTGTTTGATGACAGGAATGCTGTGGTATTTTAGGTGTTCTATGAAAAGTGACTGAATCATACCTCTTTTCCAAACGGCAGTGTGCTCCCAAGAGAGCAGCAAAGTCCGATAACTTTTGAGACAAGTGTTCTGAATGTCAAATATTCTTTCAATACCACTCCTCTTAAAATTGTCTTCATCTCTGGGATACCTGAACCTGTAACAAACAAGAGTGTTGTTTTGAAAAACTAAAGTCTATTTTAAAGAGTCGGATCCAAAATTGGGCATACTGGGTGGGCCTCAAATATGAAAATATCAAATCCACTAGAAATGGAAAGACCAGTTCAAATAGTCAATCTCTCACGGGGGAGGGGGGGGGGGGGGGGGGGGGGGGGGAGCTCTTCCGATAGTGGGACCAACAATTCCTGGTACCCATCGTAGGCTTGGTCAAACTGGGACTGGCAGACTGTACAGGACTAACAGTTCTAACTTCATATCAAATGAGTCACTCACAGTCTCAACTTTAAAGCAAACAGGTCACTCTTAGTTCTTATAGCTAAAAGGTCACCCCATAGTTGCTGTTTCTGTGCCAATGAAAACTAGACAGAATGTTCAACCCTGTCTCTTGTGACTGACAGAGACAGCAGTTTTAGCAAATCCAACATCACACACCTGAATTCAATGCATAAGGCAACAGTTAGAAGAGCCAGCGTAAACATTCCAACACCAGAAATAAAGATAATGGAAAGACCTGATCAAACAAGTAACAGTAATTCAGTGATACAAATGCACAGTGTTATGAGAAATATGGACAGATGTTTTAGAATGGACTAACATATCACCATGAATACTAATTAATGCCAATAATCTTCAATTCTTATTTTTAACCAGGCAGATACATTGAACCCAAAAAATAAAAATGTTATCCTCAAGGTAGGTAGGTAGGTAGGTAGGTATCATCTCTTGATGATATCCTCCATGCCATTTTTCAGCCCATCTAGCATCACCTCTTGGTTTACCTCCACCCTTTTTTCCACTGATCTTTCTAGTTGTCACGATGTTCTCTAATGTCTCTCTTCTCATCATGTGGCCAAAGAACAGTGTCTCTTTCTTATTGTTGTATAAAGAGATCTACTTTCATTAGCCTCTTTCAAGCAATCGTTGTTAGTTACTCTGGCCATCCAAGGTATTTGTAACATTCGTCTCAGAAACCACATCTCTGTTGCTTCTAAATTCTTCTTAATTTGTTCAGTGACATTCCAAAATTTGCTGCCATACGGCATAACAGGTTCTATGTAACATTTTAGCCCCCTCTTTCTGACACCCTCTATCACACAAAACATGCGGTAATCTCTCAAAATGAACTATCCTATTACAAAATACACCACAAGCACACAAATGAATATGGTGGGTCATACAGTTTGAACACTATGCAGGTTTATTCTTGTCAGGTTATTTATGTCTCCTGTTATAAATTTAATATGCAGCTACATTAAAAATAGATTAACAATGCAGTTCAAATTTTTTTTAAGCAGTGACATAGTTACAATGAGAAAATAAACAGAGGATGTTGTCGCTTAATATAAACACAGGTAAATCTGCTTTCAATGATCTGTACCTACAGCTGAAATCCACTGCTTCTTTACAGAGTTCAGGAACAGTTTTCTTTTTAACAATGCAGAGCAGTGGGTAGACAGTTGTCTGCCAGCTCTAGTGTTTGAGGTTCAGATGTGAATATGAGCGCTGACTGTTCCTCTCCATTTTCTTTCCCATTCCAAGCTCTTAAGGTTCATTGCTGCAGCAATCACCTATCTCTTTACCTCTGTGATTAGCTATCTCTTTCTAGTTGGAATTCTCTTGAAGCTTTATCAGTCTTTTCTTTCTAGCTGTAGTTCTCCTCTTTAAGATGGTGACTCCAAGTGTTTGTAGGTCTGCCTGTACATTACCTCTTCACCATTTTCTTGATTGGCCTTGCAGTCTACTCCCATTTAACTCTTTTGTGTATGCTGTTATCTGCCATACTCTCTATATGCCCCAACCATTGCAGCCTATTAGCCCTCATTAGGCGAGTAATTAGTGATGATTTAAATAGTTTGCTGATTCTCACTTTTCATTCTTCGCTGTGTGTGCACCACTGACTGGTCCAAAAATTCATCATAAAACTGTTCTCAAAAGTTTGCAAAAAGTTTTCATCTCTTTGAGTTTGTCTATAAAAAGTATGGGGCTAACGTCATCACCTGACTAAGCCTCCAGAGTCTCCTGATTTGTTCTTTCCCAAAAGGGAGGGGTGTTTCCCCAGACTGTAAGGCCCCAGTCTCCTAATATGTTCTCTCTTCTATGAAAGAGTATTTCACCAAACTTTAAGACCCCAAAATGTCCTGAAAGGTTCTTTCTTCTGGGGAAGGATATTTCACGAGACTGTCAGTCTAAAAAATGTGCTGATATATTTATTCTCTCTTCTAGAGAACAACAAGCAGCTGGAGAGACGTTAGAATGGTTCGAGGTGCAAAAGGGAGTGAGGCATGGGTGCATTCTCATCATACCTAGTCAATATATATATGAAGAACACATAATGAGAAATGTAAAAAAATGACCAGACTTGTGACAGTTATAATCTGCTCATAAATGGTGACAACCCTAATCGGGAACTTAGCTCAGAAGATGACAGTCCTCCTTTCAAACAAAGAAAATGTCACACACTTTGCATATCTAGGTTCCGTAATAAACAGCAATGCAGACTGTTCGACAGACGTGAAAAGGAGGATGGCCATAGCAATACAAAGATTAAACAGCACTAAAGATTCATGGTTAAGCACCAGGAAGGAAATCAAAGTTAAATTTTGAAAGCAAGCAGCTTCCAACATACGGATGTGAACACAGACCATCTCCCAGTCCTTAACGAACAAAATATGGGGTTCTGAGCTGAAATGCTACAGAAAGATTCTCAGAATACCATGGAAATAGAAGAAAAGAAATACTGAATTCTAAAAGACATGAAGATTCTGGAAGATTGGATAATAAACCAGTTCTTGTCTCAGAAGCTGAAATATTTTGGTCATTTCCAGCACCACGACCGAATGGAACAAATAATACATACCAGGAAGGAAGGGCACAGGCTGACCAACATGAAGATGGACACAGGATATAAGAGACTCCTTGGATATGAAAGTGCAGAAGGCAGGAAAACTGGTGAGAGACCGAGTATCTTTCAGGCAGACTGTTATGAGAGCTACATTCTGCAAAAGGCCTGCTACACGATTATCAGAAATGGGTATTTCACATACTTTAAGCCCCAAAAGTGTCTTGAAAATGTTCTCTCTTTTAGACAAGGCTATTACACAAACTTTCAGCTCCTAAAGTGTCATGATATGTTCTCTCTTTTAGACAAGGGTATTTCATAGACTTTCAGCCCCTGAAATGTCTTGATATGTTCTCCCTTTTAGACAAGGGTGTTTCACAGACTGTCAGCCCCTAAAGTGTCTTGATATGTTCTTTCTTTCAGACAAGGGTATTTCATTCAGCCCCTGAAATGTCACGATATAATCTTTCTTTTAGACCAGCGTATTTCACACTTTCACCTTTAAAGTGTCATGATTTGCTCTCCGTTTTAGAAAAGGTATTTCAGGTATATGTTCTCTTTTTTAAACAAGAGTATTTCAGACTCTCAGTCCCTAATGTGTCTTAATATGTTCTCTTTTATAGACAAGGGTATTTCACAGACTTTCAGCTCCTAAAGTGTTATGATATGTTCTTCTTTTTAGACAAGGATATTTCATAGACTTTAAGCCCCAAAGTGTCTCAATATCTTCTTCCTTTTAGACAAAGGTATTTCATAGACTTTAGGACCCCAAAGTTCTCAATATGTGCTCCCTTTTATACAAGGGTATTTATATTAAGCTCATAAAGTCTCCTAAGTTATTTTTTCTAGGAAAGGGTATTTTATCGGACTTTAGGTCCTTGAAATTTCTTGATACATTTTCTTCTAGACAAGGGTATTTGACAAGAATTTAAGCCCCTAAAGTCTCCTGACATGTTCTCTCTACAATGGAAGGGGTATTTCACCAGCATGCTGAATATACTGTCAGGTATATAAACTGGATCTTTTGTTAGTTTGGCCATAGTTCCACTGAACACAAATAATTGCAGCAGTGATGATGAAAATGATAACAAACAGTGTGAACTTACCAATAGCTTGTGGGGACACCAGGTGTGTGAAGCCTACTGCAAACAGGATCAGCAGCATGGAGTAGCTGACCCAAGCCAAGTACTGGAGACCCACAGAGAACTGAAGCTCCTCATACAGCCAGAATTTAGCTATGATCAAGGAATACAACAATCTGGTACTCATGCTTGTTGGGTAAGTGTAAACTTGATTGGAAAAGAGGAAAGGGAAGACAGAAGAATAAATCCCTTGACGGAACGATCTTATGGCACGGGAGGGACAAAAACCCAGACCAAATCCAGTTTCTAGCTATTGTGTAAGGGATAGCTATTAAACTAAATTTATCCAGGGGCCAACATTTTGAAAACGGGGATCGATACAGACCAGAGGCTAGAGCCCCAGCACAGAAATGTCATTAATACAATACAAATGGCAATAATCCTACGGCCACTTGCTATGCCCCAGAGGGCCAGATTTGGCCCGACAGTGCCAGTTGAAGAGCCCTGGTGTAAGGTCTGCGTTCACCCTTACCTCTTTTAACTCTTTGAGTCCCAACGAATGCATCATAAGTTCATAGGTTCCTACCAAGAAGCCCAATGAAAGCATGATGCGCCGATTTTATTACTTTCTTTACTACCCTCTAGGCCTGTGATGCTAAACCTACTGGGACTCAAAGAGTTAATCCTAGGGGATGATCGCAGCAAATGCTCAGAAATAAATTACCATTATAAAAAGTCACTAATGCATAACTTTCAAATAGTAAATTAGGCAGCGGAAGTAGCCAATAGGGAAGCCAGATTTCTTTAGTGTGCTAAGATGAAAGATGGGGGTGAACACACTACATGATGGCTGAGATTTATGTGGAAAAGTCTATTAGGTATCACACATTGCCTAGGACTGAAAGAGGTAAAAGTGCATTTTGTTGTGATTTATGTTAGGCCTTTTGGGCCAATACATGCAACTTCAGCAAAAAGTCTAATTATGATACACTTGTTAGACTGCAGTGGGTCTATTCATTGTTTAACAAAAATATGGCCCTGCAACATACCATGACTGTCTATACTAATTAGCATGGTGGATGATGATGAAGGTGGCTGGGGATCAAGCCAGGGTGACAGAAACAGGTAAATGAAACACCATCATCCCACAAATATTTTAGCAAATGGTTAACAGAGCTTCCTGATTATTTTATTCCCTGTGTGTTTGTTTTGTGCTGATCTTTAGAACCTCTTAATTACCACTGTAGAATGTATTCATCAGGCAGAAATCAATACTTTTGTGGATATTATGATTTTAGCAATGTTTATCATTGTCTTCTCTTACTCTACTTTTGGTAGCCCTTCTTCCTTTTGTCATGACAATCAGATAACTGCAGTTCCAAATTAACAGCAAATGGGTCACCCCCCATAGCCAATCCAGTCATGAACCAACAAAAACCACACATTGTCCATCAATGCCTCTTTAAAAAACTGATTCAGACTGCAGCCACAACAAAGCCAAAAGCATACCCAAAATAGTAGATGCATAAGGCATCTGTCACAACAGCCAGCACTATTTTTATGTTATATCTCTATTTCTTTTGTTGTACATCACCAGGACATCACACAAGCGATAAACACCCGGCAAAACAAAGTGCCACCATGCGAATGAGGATCACCCATGGAGAGGTGGCAGAAACCCCTTTCAGCCGTTAGGACATATTTATGGCTGGGCTATATTCAAGGCCCCCTGCAAAAGCCAGAGTGGGGCTTCAATTAAAAAAAAAATTGCATCCCACATTGGACAACTAATTATAAATGTTATATCAAAAGAAAAGTCCTTTAATAGTTTTTATCTCTTTTGACTTGGCATAATAATACCATAACTATGGCCCATTATTGCTATAAAGCACTTGACAATGGAAAGCTGGTAGTAACTATGACACAAACAAATACAATAAATTACTTTCCTTCTATATAAATATTCATACATTATTCCTTCTGTATAAAGAAACCTACATAAAATACTGTGTTCAAACAAGTGAACAAGCATTCTTTAAAGCAGTGGTTCTCAACCCGTGCGTTGTGACCCCTTAGTGAGTCGAACAGCCCTTTCATAAGGGTCGCCGAAGACCACCGGAAAACATTTTTCACTGGTTATGATGTAGCAACAAAAATAATTGTATGGCTGATGGGTCACCACATCATGAGGAACTGTTTTAAAGGGTTGCGGCATTAGGAGGTTGAGAACCACTGCTTTAAAGACTACATGGCTTGCAGTTGTGATTATCTTGTTCACCTCAGATCAATCAATCTTTTTCTTCTTTGTGCTCACAGGCTGTAAACTCTAGTTGAAAAATTATGGTTGTTCATCCACTTGTGGACTTTTGTCTTGTTCCAGAACTTGATTTTTGCATGCACATCCATTTTACTGATCTGGCTCACTTATATGTAGACTTTCAGTTCCTCGCCTCTCAGGCAGATACGTCCCAACTCAAAAGGAAACAAGACCAATTAGTTGTGTTATCTGACCCGCTTGTTAGGTGGTGGTGGTGGTGGTGGTGGGGGTCCTATTCCTCCCCCTTGCCCCCAGTTATATACAGGAACATGTAAGATAATTATTAGCATGTTTTACTTTTTTGGGCTGTAAGTATGACATACCAACCAATGTTATTTTAAATAATAGATTTATTAATACATTTTCCAGCTATTATTCAGAATCCACTATCCACCTCGATCTTTATGAAGATATACTGCTATACTTTTACTATGTTATGACTGAGGTAATATAATCCTGCAATTTCTGCATTAATACTAGCAGCTTTTCACAATGTGACACATAATTATTTATATTTTAGTTTTCAAAAGTAAACTATATCCTTTAAAGTATATCCAGTACACAATATCTCTTATAAGAGAATCATGTTCTTGTTGTATAATCCCACTTTGTAGTTCTCTGCATCAGTTTGTCTATAAACATGTTTTATTTTGTATTCTCTTTGTTGCACTGGTGACATCTTCCCTTGCTGTTCATATTCAGTGCACTTTAGTAGGCATTATGGAATGTTATTATGCTTCCAAAATTGACTGTGTCGTTAACTTTTTTACTGCTCTTATTATAACACTTTTTGGGGCTGTGGGGCAGGGAATCAGTGGATGAGACTTAGGGGTTGTGAGTGCTGCTCAACAATTCCAAAATATCAAGGTTTAGGTTTCCTCAATGTGTGTAACACAAGTGTTGTTTCTTCATTTTAATTTACTGTAGTTTGTTTAGTTCTCTACAAAAGCTGCCAGGTGGTGATTCTAAGAAGCATTAATTTCAAACCCATTCCAATAGCTTTATTACAAAGGCATGAAAGTGACATCAAGCAGTGTTAAAGAATTAACTCTTTGAGTCTCAAACAATGCATTATGTGTGGATCGCCCCGTCCGCTGAATCCCCTCCTTATCTTTATACATTCTCTTATGTTTGTATTTGGTCAGAACATACTCAAGAAATCTGGCTTATCCAATGGTCACATCTACTATTTCATTACACTTTGAAAGTGATTTAATGATGTATGTGACATCATCAGTATTTTTTCATTGGCGACTCCAGCGAAACCTTCTGGTACAGAATGAGTTAAACAAAGCATTCATTCTGAATAAATTATGCACCATAGGTTGATCACAAAATGTCAGGCTGACCAAGATTCATAGAACTAGGTGGTAGAGGCATTTTACAGAACTGCTAAAAAGAACAAGCAATGATGAAAGAAACTAGCTACCTCTCTGTATTTTTAACAGTTTATACCATATGAAGGGAGCTAAGGTAGCATAGCGGCTGGCAGTTTCTATTGGCCTACAGGTCTTGGGTTCGAATCCAAATCAAGTCAAATTTAAAAAAAAAAAAAATTTGGCTTTTAGGCAGACCCTGTCTAAAGTTCCTTGAAGTAAAGGTGGCCGGGGTGATGCTAACCACAACACCCATCCAGTCAAAATGTTCTATAAAACTATACATCTAGCATCATATGTGGCTCACAGGGTGGCAAATGCTCAAGTACTAGGGTTTGCTTGCTGCTGCTGGATGCTTTAAAAATTACCATGCTTTAAAAATAAACATTCTCAAGGCTTTCGAACAATGGTATGAAAGTCTAGCTGTGGAAGATAATGGGACCTCACCATGTAATATTCCCAAACTGTATCTGTAACTGTATCCAAACTCTTAATACGTAAAAACCCCAGCATGTAGTGAATGCAGCAAGGGACTTCTGATCCTCTGAAGAGGTCACCCTTCTATAAGTTCTTCTTTTTCTTTTTTTACTCATTCGCTTGAAATAGATTGTCTATATCTGTAATGATGTCTCTAGTATGAACTTTACGGTCTTTTGTAATTCACTCAATGACCCGTTAAGTTTCACTTGCACTAATGTGGACCCTTCTGTTAAGTGTTTCAGCCCCTTTAGTTAGTCACTTTTCCTTTACAGGACATTGCAGAACCAACCCCAGCATTTTTTAAGTGTTGTGGTTTTTCTAGGCAATTTGTATGTTCAGTAGTTTGCCACTGCTTTCTGAACAGTTAGCTCTAGGTACCACTGTAGAAACTAACGCAAGACAAATCTTTCGCGGCTGGATCTAATTTGGCACTATGAAGCATGATCACAATACCTAAGCCACAGACGCCGACTCAGTCCCTCTACTATTCTGAAACTCCAAGGGAGTGGACCCACCTAGGTCATGGCTTCTGATATCGTTCTTCTGCTGAAGGCACCTTATCTTTACACTAAAATATTTTACAATCTGTTTCTCCTTCTTCTGAGTCCACCCTTTAAAAGACAGCTAACACTGTATCTGGCTAAGAGCTAGGCTGTAATATTTGTGTATATAGATTTCAGCAAACCCCTAATCAGAAACCATTAATATGCTTGTTAGGAGGGTAGCAGGTCTCTACTTTTTCCCCCTATATAACAGGACCCCAAAAATCCACACTGGGGTGTTTATTGATAATGATCATCATCCTCTGCAAACCCTATGGGAGAAAGCCCCTTGTTCTTAGCCCAAGCTCTCCTTGATATCTTCACCCACCACTGTACTGGTCAGATCAAGCCTCTTCTTCCTATTCACTATTATCTCCAAACTCTTATGAGCTAAGAACTGATATCACAGCACTCGCGACACTTCCATAAGCTGCCCAACTGCATCTCCAACAGAAAAGTTTCAGTTTTTCTTCTTCTTCTCTTCGCTTGAAACAGATTATCTCTATCTACAATGTTGTCTCTAGTATGAATTTCACTGTCTTTTGTAATTCACTCAGCGACCCGTAAGGTTTGGCTTGCACCGGTGTTTCTCTTGGCCAACAGTTTTAGCTTAAATTCTGATGGTCCCAGTAACAGTCTTACTGCATGTGCGTCTTATCATTCCCTTAATTGTTGAGCTTCGGCCAGATCTGCTGGTATTTGTGCCTCTGCACTGTCTACTCTCTCCCAAAGGGCCCTTACAACATGTAGCTTGTTATGCAACAGTTTACCACAAAATGTGCAAAACCAGCCATTCTGTCTGCCTGCTTATTTCCCAAAACATGATATGGAGAAAATATCCATAGGACACTAATTATTGGAATCATTATGGTATTTAATACGACCAGAGTGTTTTAGTTTTTGAAAAACAATAATTGCCCCGATCCATCTCCCCTCTGGGTCTAGATCCAGAAGAACATAAACAACGATTCAGACGTATATTCACAAACATGAGAAGCAACATTACCTTCCTGACATTTTTCAATGACAAAATCCATGATGAAGCTTAAAATAGCCATTAAAATGCCAAGTATAGCTAAAAATATCCAGTCTTCTCCGACTTTGAGGAAGACAGCATCTCTTACTTCAGCACATCTTCCTGTAACCAAATTAAGCACGTTATAAAATTTGAAACAGTTATGATCAAAGTGAAGTAAAGCAACTAAACAATGAAGGAAACAGACCATACATGTCAAAGTAAAGTAAAATAGTTAATTATAGAAACAGACAACACTTTTCAAAGTGAAACAAAGTAGTGACACAATGACAGAAACAGACCAAGCATGTTAAAGAGAAGTAAAGTAGTTAACAATGTTGATAACAGATTACATATGCTAAATGAGAGGGGGGAAAATGTGGTTACCCCTATTTTCAACATCACTTTTGAATAAATGTTAAAGTAATAGGTTATATTTGGACCAAAGCTCTTAACCGTTTTGCCACGAGAAGCTGAAAAGCTGACACATCCCACTGGGTCCAGTTCCCCATAAATGTCACTTTTCTGACTTGCCTATCATGACCTGTGACCTGTTTACGAGATGTATAGTTAATACAACAGGCTGAGTTCCCACCTCCACAAACGTTTAGGAGGTCAGAATATACGTAAATTAACTAACAATATTATTCAGAGGGGTTTTCCTCGGTGCTACAGAGCTTTTTTTACAGCCAGGATGACCTGAGATTTTCTCATAAACCTCAATGGTAAAGGTCATGGAGTCATGGCATGAGTCACCTGATAAGTGTGCGTGGTGTTTTTAGGCCCCAGGGGATGTTTTCAATTTAATACTTCACCAACATGCATGTTTATTCCTGACTTCTTTCACATATCTTTACATATTTCCCCCCCCCCCCCCCCCCCCCCCCCCCCCCCCCCCCCCCCCCCAAAAAAAAAAAATTATTTTAAAATGTCGAAACAAAAATTCTAAATGAATGTATTAGTGACATGCGTAAAAAAAAATATGTTTTACAGTTTTGGTGGAATCCTAACAGGGTCATGACCTTTTTTTTCCTTCTGTGGCCGAAAGGGTTTACTATCTAACATACTTTTAAATACTTATTATACAGTTATATCCTTCTCATTCTGCCCCCTCTCCCCCCCCCCCCCCCCAGTGCAGCATAAGCCCTCAACTAACTCATGCCAAGTAGCCTATTCTTTGCTATTGCAATTCTTTGCAAGCAGCTCGCCCCATGTATTCTTTATCTTCTCAACTTTACTCTTTAGCTCCCTTCACTATGTGTTTTGGTTTTTTTTATGTGTTTAATCTTGTTTCCTGCTTCAGCGATCTTATATTTTTAATGATCACTCTCTGCATGCTTGAGTATGTTCCTTTGTCAGCCTCTTTGTTGCTTTTCTCAGATGTTACCCAGCCATGTGTTACCGAGGCATTTAGGGACAGCACCGAACAGGCAGGCAGACTACATCCTACCCTGCATGTCACAAAGGCATTTACAACATTGCGTTAATGTTCGCTGCCAAAACCAACTAAATACGCATAAGTCTTTGGAAAAAAAATCAAATAATTAAATTGAGATAAAATATTTTGCTAGAGGAAGTCTCAGGGTATTTTTGGCTAGTTAACTAATTAGAAGAAAAAGAACAATGCTCTGAAACCTGAAGCACAACTAAAAGAGATGAAGGCATATTACAGGTTTTCAAAAACAGTATTATGATGAATCTTTAGACCTATCAAAGATCTAAACAGCAAGGAATGGAGAGTGAAAAGCAACAACGAAATGCATAATCTGTTTAAATCACCATCAATCATTAGCATCTTGAGAGCTAATAGGTTGACATGGCTGGGGCATTTTAAGAGAATGTCAGATGACAGAGAGGTAAACATTGTATACACACAGGAGATTAATGGTGGTAGACTACAAGGCAGACCAAAATGAATGGAGGAGGGTGATATCTGCAGCAATTAACCTCAAGGGCTCGGAATGCTTAGGAAGAAGAAGATAAAGAAGAACAACGGTATGTAAATAACCGCTAAATGATTTCACAGAACATCCAAGAATCAAATGGTTTGGTCAGAATGGATCAAAATCAGCCAGCAGCTACAGTGTATTAACTGAGATCAGCAGGTTACAAGATAAGAGGCCTACCAAAAAAAGAGATAGGTTGAAGGAGTAAAAGAGACAACAGAACTGATTGAAAGTACATGAAAGTAAATATTATGGACAGATGTGACAATGCAACACGGTATGATGGTTAATGGTCTGGTAGTGATAACATAAGAGCATTTGAGGTGGTGCAGTAGTCTGATGCTGGGCTACTGGCATGGAGGTCTTGGGTCTGAATTTGAATTGATGTACATTTTTATAACTGCCATAGACTTCCAGATCAAACAGTCCTAAAATGGAGACAATAAATTCTCCTGGGAAGGAAAGGTGGCAGACATGATTTCGACATCACCTAGCGAGTGCCGATTTGTGTTTAAAAAATAGTTCTAGCACCATGTCCAATGTGCGAATGCTGTGTAATTTTATCTGATAATGATGGTTGTGTGTGTGTTTCGTGAATGTGCTTACTCGCATGTGTGCATTGGTTTGTGTGTGATTTAAAGGGCATAATGTTAGAAGTGATAGTAATAATCATCATTCAAGTGCTGTCTTCACAGTCAAGGTTGGCTGCAATGAATCTCCAACACGCTCTATCTCTTGTCCTGGTTGTACACTCTCTCAGACTGATGTTCATCTATCTCTTGATGTTGTCCTCCTAATTGTAGTGGTGCCTACCTATTGCTCTCTTGCCTTCGACTTTTCCTCCAGTATGGTTTTTAATAGAGTCTTATGTCTTTTAATGTGTCCAAAGTATTTCAATTGTCTCTTTTTTTTTAAATTTATTTTAGCAATTCTCTTTTCATCTGTTGTCTTTACTGCACCTCTGTTAGTTTCCATGAAGTATGATCTGTTTTTCTCTACATCCACATTTCTATGGTAATAATGTGATGACAAAGTAAAGCAAAAGACATTCTTTTTAAACGCCACTGGTGCAGGAGGTATTTAATACAAGACTCATATTTTTAGATATTGATTGTGGTTCACATGGAATACATCACACTGGCCACTTTTACTATTCAGGACTTTCCTAATAACCAATTTTAGGCTGGGTGACAAGATTAATTTTGGGGGTTATGAAATCCAACTCAATGCAGATTTGTACCCAAGACCTTCAGACACAGATCAGATGCTTCCTGTACAAGGAAATGCTCCTAACTTTTCAGAATAGACACCACAAGAAGTTTCATCTTCCACTACATCAGCTTTTCGAACTGTTCCAGAATTTGCAGAAACAGGCTTCTCAATAGCTGATTCCATGCTGGTTGTATCAGGAAAAGCTCCAAACGTTTCAGAATAGACACCACAAGAAGTTTCATCTTCCACTACATCAGCTTTTCAACCTGTTTCAGAACTTGCAGAAACAGGCTTCCTAGACACTGATTAGATGCTTACTGGGCCAGGAAAAGCTCCAAACCTTTTAGAACAGACACCATAAAAAGTTTCATTTTCCGCTTCATCTGATCTTCAAATTGTATCAGAACTTGCAGAAACAGGAAGGTGAGCATCTAGTCACTATGATAATGCAGATCCCAACAATGGTGATGAAGCAAAAAAAAAAAAATAATGACAGCCAAAGGTTACTTAATCAACTTACTAAAGAACTTCCAGATGGAATTAAATCTGTGTAACTTCTTTGCTTTCTCTTCACTTCCTTCCGCCACAGCTTGTATTCTTGCGGCATTTTGTGCTGCCTGAAACTTAGCAAAGGAGCTTAACTCCTGTGTGTAATTTCCATAAAGCTGAAATTAAAGGAAAAATTTGCTGTTATCTCTTATACTTACTTAGACTGTCAGTTCAGTTTACCTATTTAGGCAGCCAAGGAAACATGCGGAAAGAAATTATGAAACATACAGACAAGATAACAGCAGCTTTTAAAACCCTCAATAAAATATGGAACACTAAATTATAGGGTTTTCAAATCAACTTCTGTATATTACTCCTTAAGGTTATTTCAGTTTTAACATATACCAGTGAAACCTGGAGAATTGCTATAGACAGCAATGGGAGCGAAATGCATTTGAAAAAAAAAATACTTAGGAAATTAATGAATATTAAAACGGACCATCAGTGTCTATGGCTTAAATGTTGCGAATGTGCTTTGTAATTCCGAGGTACTTAGCTGCAGGTGATCTGGCAGCAAACTGCCTTGCACTGATTTCAAAAGGGATATGGACACCTTACCGGTAAGAAATCAAGGGCAAACTAATAAACGTAAATTTGACTAGTAAAATAAAACAGCAAACAAATGCTCGGGTTAGTTTTGCTACGTCCCGAAAAGATATGCAACTAACTTTAAAAAAAGGATAAATTAAAGAAAGGCACAAATTTAAGAGACATTTTTAGATGCTACTGCTTTCAACCTTTATAAGATACAGAATAGAAGATAGCGGGCACATTCTGCCAGCCCAAAGCCTTTGCATCCACATTATGGTGAGATTTTGACAAATGATTTTGGATTTCAGGCTGTTTCCTCTTCCTCCTGCTGTGGGTTCCAGGGCTCTATTTTGGGTGAAAAAAGAATAAATCCACTGCCTCCCTAACAAGTAAATCATAAAAGGTGACTAATTAGACACTTATTTTTCAAAACTGGAGGGCATCTGCTTGAAAGGCAAGAAACCAAAAGTCTCTATACAAATAAGCCAGATCTGTAAAATCAATATGCAGGCAAAACTCAAGTTCTGGAACAAAACTAAAGTTTAGAACTTGGTCCACCAGAAGTGGACGAACAACAACAAATTTCTGCCAGAGTTTACAGTCACTGAATGCAAAGTAGAAGAAGGCTGACAATACCTAAAATGGAAATATCAGTGGCTGACATAATGTTGACCACAATACCCTTTGAATTTCTCCTGGTCTACCCAAACACAGCTCTAGCACCATATACCCAATGCCCCACTGGTGTAACAATGGTCATTTACTTTACTTTCACTACATGCTTGATGTGGGAGTCGCCGTGGCGGAGCGACTAGACACTCGCCGCAGATAGAAAGGTCGTGGGTTTGCTACCTGGTGGAGCCGGACTTATTTCAAAAATGACCTTGGCTCCCAGGTCGACCCAGCCTTGAGTGGGTACGGTGTACAGTCTCGGGAAGTAAAGACGGCCAGCGTGATGCTCAGCACATCACCCATCTGGTGCCGATTGGTCTATAAACTATAGATCTAGCCCTATACACCTAAAGGCATTGAAAAGGGTCTTTTACTTTACCTTTACTTTATATGCTTGATGTTCCAAAAGCATAAAACAGGTACTTCTTCACTTCCTCTGTCACTGCTTGGAGCACCAAGGGAAAAACTGTTTTTTTAACTGCCTGCATTTACAACTTTGTAGAGTGATTTAGGACAAGGGATTTGTGAAGCCAGAGATTTAGGGCCCCATGGCTGGTGCTTAGTTTTTCTTCTTAGTGTTCACTGGCTATAAATTTTGTAGGAAGGTTCTGGTTGTTTGCCTACTCCTGGACTTTGATACTGATCCAGAAGTTGCGTGCATATCTGTGTTTAAAGATCTGCCTTATTCGCATGCAGGCTGTTGGTTTCTTGGCTCTCAGGCAGATGTACTCTGACTTCGAAGGAAATGTCCCTAATCGGTCACCTCCTATGTCATGCTTGTTTGGAGGGCAGGGGTCTATTCTTTGTTCGTCAAAATCGAGTCCCGGATCCCATTCACTGGTGGCCCATGGGGGGAAACCTGGCCCACGGAGGTCTAGCAAGTGGCCCGCGGATCACTGCCAACTGTACAGTATCTTTCTATGCTAGATCCCCATTTTCAACACTTTGTCCCCCTAGTAAACTCAGTTGAATAGCCCTGCCATAAGGGAATCATGGCTAGATCCATCACTAGGAATTGCGCAGGTTAGGATTTCTACTTTTTCTCTGACAGAAAAATATCTCCATCCTTTACCAAGGATCAAACTCTGGTCTCCCACATGAGAGTCTAGTTCTCTAACTACCTGGCCAGCCAATCCTCTAAAGTGTTCTTTATTTCACTTTCTTCTATGAGAAAAAAAAAATACAGTACACATGGAAGAGAACTGTCTGACCCAAATAACTCAGACAAACACTGTTTACTTATCATTACATATTTATTATAAAGAGATTCAACAGACTTACATCCCTCGACAATGAATGCTTTTAGCCGAACAACAAGCTTATCCCAGAACATTTAGTCAGGAATGAAAATGACTGTTCAAATAAATATTAATTATCCTAGTGGTAAATTACACATGTTAAATGGTTTCATAAGGTGGGTTTGACTCCTGTCTAGCTAAAAATAAAAATTATTCCTAAATATGACTGGATAAAAATGTCTCAGAAACTCATACTCTATATTCTTTTTCTTAATATCTACTGCCTGTAAACTCCAGCAGAAAGTTCTGGTTGTTAATCCAATTCTTGACTTCGGTTTTGAAAATGGTGGCAAACCTGTGACATGTATTGATATAATCTGTATCCATAATGTGAATGTACTTCTGAAAGTGAGCACCTTTTATAACTGTGTAGTTTGAATAAACTCCTGAATACCTGCGTGCACATCCATTATCTGGCTTTTTTATGCACTGTTCTCAGACAGATGCACTCCGATTTTTAGGGAAATGCTCCTAATTAGTCATCTTTTACGATATGCTTGTTGTTGGGGGGTGGATCTATTCTTTTTTCTTTCCCCCTCAATAATGGGGCCCCAGAACTTACAAGGAGAACATTCAGTCTGAAGTAGTTTAAGAAGAACAATGATGGCATACATGGTCTTTGGAAAATTAAGAATGTGTTCTACTTCTTTGTTCACTACCTGCATGCTTTGATGGAAAAACCTGGTTGTTCATCCATTTGGAGTTTCTTTGTGCCATGGCCTGAGTTTTGCGTGTTAATTTTTGTGTGTGGGTAATTGGATGAAAGTGACTTGCGCAAGGACTTGGATTTAAATGAAGAAGAGTTGCACAGTTCTTCTATCTCACTCTCTTGCCTGTGTCCATTTTGATCCAATGGCTGGACAATGTCGAGACGATTGGAGTTCTTGTGTGTACATCCAGTTTAGTGGGTTATTTGTGTGCAGTTGATTGTTCCTTGCCGCTTGAGCAGATGCACTCTGACTTCGAAGAAAGTCCCCTAATTAGTTGACTCCTACAACATACTTGTTGGGGAAGCAGTTGGTCTATTCTTGTTTTCACCACAATGAGACCCCTGAACCCATACAGGATAAAAGATGGGGTTGAAAGGATGTCCCATTAAAAAAAAAAATTTACCACAACTATTTATCACTTTTGAGGGGACTGCGTGGTCTCGAGGTATAGTGTCCGCCTCGAGTGCTAGAGGTTTCGGAATTATTTTCTCGGCAAGGGCTGGAATTTTGTCACGTGGACTTGGACTTCTTGTAATCCCCCTAGGTCTCTGGGTAATGAGATCGAACGACTGTATGTACTGTTGTGCACGTAAAATAAAATCCCTTGGCAGTTGGAAATCGTAAAGAGTAGCCTAACAGTGCTGCTCAGGCCAAATTGGGAGTTATAAATCTACCCAAAGTATTTCCGGATCCTCACCGGTGCTACAGAGCATGTGCACTGTGCTGAGCTTCTTTGGACTCAGACCTGAGTTAGAAGAAGAAGGAACACTTATGGGTTACTACCCGTGTGCCATGATGTTGATCCGTTGTTCAAAACCTCAAACCTCATTTATCACTTTTCAGGCCAGTGTGAGGCAGAGAGGTCTTGAGCCATATGATGAAGAGGCCAAATGGCTAGTGAAGTCACAACACACTATGCAGGTTAGGATTGTACTTTTGCCCTCAACAGAAACAAATCCATCACTTGAGGATTCGAACCTCGGTCTCCCAAATGACATCCCAGCGTACTTAATCACTCAGCTGGCTCCTTATCATCTTAAAAAGACACATGCTCCAAAAGCTGTCTTTAAAAAAAAAATTTTTTTAATGGCATGAATGTAAATAAAAGATAGTAGAAGTATGAAAATGCTCATGGTATAAAATGACTTCATATTTAACGCACACAAAAATTCCTTTGAAGACAGTGTGACTAGAGTTAAAATGGTGATGCAAATTAGACGAGGCCTGATCTTTTCAATAAGTCAGTTACACAGAACTTGGTTAATTTTATTTTAATGTCCTTTCCATCTACACCACAGTATGTGTTTAGCTGTTAATTTTTCTGTAGTATGATCCTGATGTGAAATAATGCAAGGCAGTTAACTGTGCAAACTGTTGTTTGTGCCTTATGTCTTCTAATCTACCACAGAAAAACATTGCTTAAATAACATTTAAGAAGAATGGTCAATGTGAACAAAGATGTAAATCAATGCAAGAACAACACAATAAAGGTGTTCACCAGACTGAAACAAGATCTCTTTAACAAGTCTAAAATAAAGTATGACTTACAAATTAGCATTGAATATAACCATTGTTTTGCAATAACAACCAAAGAAAAGGGGACGCGGTGGGAATGTTTTACTAAAAGAGGTAAGGAGAAAATTCTTTTGCAAGTGGAAAAAGATCATAACCATGGAACTGATTCTTTGCAGAAAGTCGCTCTGCAGAATCACAATATGACTGTGCCTCATCAGCTCTCCGGAGTCGTGCACTTTCCTACTCAAGGTGTACTTATATCCTGTGCCCATATTCATGGTGGTCAGCCTCAATGTGCCTATTTCCTGTACTGTGCTATTATTATTTTCCCCCTAATGCATCATGGCAGTTGATACGGCCAAAACTTTTCAGTTTCTGAGACAAGTTGCT